GAGAGCACTATTTTTAAGTAATTAGGTTTATAATTTTTATCCCAAATTGAATTTATTTTTGTTGCGTGCACGCAACAAACGATGAGTAAAATTTAAAAAATAATGCATTAAAAATTCAGGATAAAATCTGCAACATTCGGAAAAATTGGCTTTTTATTCTTGTTTAATGTCCGCCAGGACGCTATCAATATTATATAAGAATATTTTTTTTAATTAATATAAAATATAATAAAATATATTCAAATAAAATAAGGTTTAAAGTATAATTATTAATAAAACAGTAAACACTAATTTTTATTAATTGTGTATATTTATTTATCTTTTCGATATTATATAATTTACATTAAAATCATATATATCGATTGCTATCGAAGCTATTATTATGTACTCAAAATTAAGTAAGACAAATTTACATTAATAATCTGTATGCATGACTGAATACCGTTTTAATTCAACAAGTAAATTTTTTATATTCCACAATAAGTACCTGTAATATTTCGCAAAATTTTCATTAACATAACGTATATGTACTCGTATGTATAGGTTATTAATAAATAAGGTTATAAAAAATTTCTTTTGATTGATTAAAGTGTTAATTTACTAAGATTTTTGCTTGAAAACCGAATTAATTTTTATTTTATTATTGTAAAGATATGCCAGATATTATTAGTGAAATCAATTAATCAAAACCACAATATCAGCCTTCATATAATATGTATATCACATATGTATGTATATATATATATGTATATATATATGTATATATATGTATATTACATTTAATTGACGTAAAATTTTATTTTATTTAATTGCAATGTCTTATTATATTTATCTAATAAAATTGCACTGATTGTAATTGGTTATAAAATAAACACACATGACATTTAGATTGTTAACAAAATAATTAAAATTAAAACGATATTGCGTGATCAATGATCGTATTTATAAAATGTGATGTTATGCTATAAAAAATACTATATTTATGTATATATAGGCATTATGATGCTATGTAATAAAATTAATATAAAAAATAATTTGTGCTTCATTACATATACATACATATATTGTGTATCGCTGTAATATTTTGTTAAATTGATGATCATCGATGAATTTTAAAACTAATTTCAAGAAATTTATGTTAGTATAGTTTGTATGTAACGGTGTGTAAATAACAATTTACCCTTGAACAAGTGAATATACTCATTATTTTTTAAAAAGAAGTCGTCTTAAATTATTCTCATTAATCATACTAAAATTGCATACTTTTCGGAGAAACAACAAATATTAAAAGAATCGTTTATATAATTGTTGAAATTTATGGTTAATTTCCTCAGTTAAGATAAATAATTATATTTTTTGATGGCAAAATATTTGCAGCTAGCTTTGTGGTTTTAAAGGAATTCGCAAAAGTTTGAAGTTTCAGAAATAAAAGGGACAGAAGTTTGAAATTTTTCTAATTTATAGAGGCTTTAACTTGGAAGGGAAGAGGAATGAAAAATATTTTCTTCTAATGAAATAATTTTTACAGTCTACAAGCCATCCAAATTTCAAACTCCCACAATCTACCGTTTAATAAGTGTGTTAAAAATTTGTTAAAAACTAGTGGAATTCAAAAGTTTTTGTTCTAATTTACCACTTTTAGATGGGATACTTTTAAATCTGATCTTTAAATTAGAAGCTTTAAAAGTTAATCTGATTAAAAATTTTCTATTAAGATGTAAGAAATTCTTTAGTATATATTAATGGTTTTTAAATAAATTAAGAAATTTATATTATACACATGATCACATCTCAAATATTACACATTATATTATACACATGATCACATCTCAAATATATAAATAAGTTGGTGTATAACCATTGATCTTCCAATCTCATAAAAGTGTTTATTGCTCTTAGAAATTCTGAAAGAATATAACTTGGAAAATGGTGATAAAGTATAATTTATAAATTTAGATTATAAATCAAAATTTCACACACATAATTATAATACAATTTTTAATACTTAATTTATGTAATTCATAAATTAATTGTTATAAAGTAAAATTATATTGGCACAAATTAAAATCCGGAAAATATATTAAAGCGTTTACGATAAAAAATTAATCTAAATTTGAGCAAAAAATAAACTAAACTGCATGATATTTGAATACGCGCACTAAACTATTAAAAATTTTCTAGCTCAACTTAGAAATAGTGAACTAATTTTCAGAGTTAGTAATTAAAAAAATTTACTTTAAGAAATTTTTAATTATACCTAAAATATTTACAAATAAAATATAATAATGTCCTGAAAATTATTTAATTATTTCAGCTTTGTACCCATATTCAAATCTTAAATATTTTTTAAATCTAATATCCTTATTTTAAAAATCTATTACAAAATGAATAGCCGCATTACAGTCTTTCACATTTACATGCATGCTTGTCTTCTTATTATTTCATAAATGAAAATTAAAGTAAAATTTAAATTTTTCACACATTTTTATTTTTATTCTAAATGAATTTATTTATTTACTTTTTTTTTTGTTTTTGGGTACATTGACCAACATTATTCATTATAGAAAGGTCAAAACCATATTATAACCTGAACTTTTTGAACTTTTATAATGTTCATGTTATTTACACATTGATATTTATTTTTACCTATACATACATATATAAAAGAGTGGTAAAAATAAGCCTTGTAAATAATAATTTTCAACTCAACATATGTGTATAGAATATGTCCAACAATATTATATACGTACGTATATTATATACATAAAAATATTGAATGTATTCAAGGAATTTTAATTACTAATCCTGTGTCTGCCCCTATGAGAATGTATGTATACAAATATGTATAAATAATTGTATATATTTGTATAGTCGAGTACAATTTACAGTTTATTTGCATAAATGAATAAGAAAATCATATCCTAATTTTATCCTATACAGGTACATAATATGTGATGACCATCAATTTGAAAAGATTCTAATAATCGATTTGAATTCAAAGTTTGCCTGTTTTCTCCTTTTAAAATTTTTTTTGTTCTAGTTTTTTTTTCCAATTTTTTTCTAATTTTGTTTTTAATTGTCTAGCTTGATATTATTTATATGAACACCTTTAACATGTTTATGTAAAAACAGTATCTATATACGGTCTAATGATGATTGAAAACTTTTTCACAGCAAAATAACAGTAAAATCATGGTTTTATCGATTTAAAGAATGCCAATTTGAATGGAGAAAATTTTTTTTGTATCGAAATTCAATTTTAAAGTTAGATTGAGCTTAAATTGATGATGAGTTTATTAAATTTTTATTAAATTATGAGTATGAGTTTTGAAAACTTTAAATTAAAATTTTTGGCGACAATATCAAAATTAAAATTTAATAAATTTAAAGTTTAACAGCAAAAATTATTCGATTTCCATCGATTGCAATCTCTTTACTTTATTATAGAGATTTGGAAAAAAATTTGTGGTTTGTTCGGTAAAATCAAAATTTCGATCAGAATAAAAATTTAAATTCCAAAGTAAAAATTTTATTGATTTTAAAATAAAATTAAAATTTTTTTTTTAAAGAGGAAATTTTATTTTATGACATTGGTTTTTCCGATTTAAGGGTTATAAAGTGGTTATTATAATTTTGTTAAATAATTTTGTGAATTATGGAGGCTAATTTTTGGTTAGTTAATTATTGTTTTTTAATTACTATTAAAAATTTGTAATCAAAAACTAATTTTTTAGCATTTTAGACAAAAATGTGAGAAATATGAAAAGTCTAATACAAAAATCTGACGTGATCAGCACATAAACGCAATGTGTATTACCAATGTGTAAGTGTTACAGAAGATTATAAAAATGCGTTCTTTTCAATTTTAAGGAAATTTGCTAGTTTTTAGATAACACACCTAGAAAATCGAAAATAGTGAAATTTAGTTTTTAGTAGAATTTCACTTTGTACCTCCCGAATACCCTGAAATGTTCACCAGTTAGTTTTGGTAAGAACCAGAACACAAATATCAAATTTCAAGGAATTCCATCAGTCCGTTCCATAGAAATGTTAAAAAATGTAAAATCGACCACCAGTTCGATTTTCAAGCACTGATTTTTTCCAAAAAATTTGTATATTCATTGTTTTAATACCGCGAATTTAAAAATTAAAATTTAAGAAAATTGGTTGATAATTTATCTTAATATATACGCAAAAATTTAAAATTGCGGTCCGCAAAATCCCGAGATCTGATATATCGTAAAAGTTGATCATTTCGTGCCATATAAAACTCACACATAAAATTTTATTAAAATCGTTTCAGCCGAATTTGAGATACACGCGTTGACATACAGACCGGTAGACCGACATCTCCCTAAAAATAGCTTATTTACGCTTCCCTACTATGGAGAAGTGCGTTCCCACCGATAACTCGAAATGCGAAGTGTGGTGCCATCGCATAACCTCCTAGCTCGCGTTATTGTATGTAATTATTTTATAGGGAAGCAAATTGGGTTAAAAAGGAAGTTCAAGTTCAAGGGCTACCGGGAGAAAAAGGAAGTTCAAAGAAATATAATTATTACTTAAGTTGAAAACCGAAATTTCGAAATATAACTCAGAAGATATAACTGAAACTGTTCGATCAAAATGAAATATGTATCTACGTATTTACGAGCTCTTAATTTCTGTTAACTAGTAAAATCATAGTAAAAATTAAAAAAAAAAACAGTTTAAATACGGAATAATATAAAATCTCTATTTAATAAAGGGAAATTTAAAAAAAAATCTTTGGCCATCTTGATAGTTTATTATAATTTCCTCGAATTCTTCGAGCAGTGAGTCGTAAACTTTCTTTAAAAATTTCGTTCCAGATAATTAAATTTCATTCTAGATCTAGATAGTCAAACTTCTAAATAGAAGGTCTAATTTAGCTTTTTATTTATATATTATTTTATAAATCTTACAAAATCTTACAATTCCATATTTTTAATATTTAAAAAAAATTCCCATTTTTTTTCCAGAAACTTAATTTACTTACCTGCTGCTAAGTGACATCATTGAAAGGAAATATGCCATCTAGAAAAACAACGAAACAACAACACAACAATAATTTCACATGTATTTCACCGAAATTCAATAAACTAATGTTGTCAAAGTTTTCCGACCGTCAGAATATTGTTACAGTTACTGTCACTGCTACTTCTCTCGACAAAAAAATATTGTTTCAAATTTAATTGGTTTTTTTTCTTTTTTTCTTGAAATTAAAAAAAAAATAAAATCATAAAATTTAAAAAAAATTTAAGGAATATCGGGAAGAAACAAGGTAATTTTTAAAGTAAAGCAAAGTGAAAAATTTTTTTCGCTCCATTTTGGTATTTTTATTTATTTTTATATTTAATGTTATGAAAATTTCATGCTTTCTTTGAATACCTTTCCCCAATATCTTTATAATTTTCTTAAGTACGTAAAACTTAAAAATATTTTAAATTTGAATCAAATTCCACGCAAAATTTAGTGAATTTTTTAAATTTTATATAGAAAACAGAAAATGAATGCAATGAAAATATGAAAGTAAAAAAAATTACAAGACAACTTCATAAAAACTCAACAATAACAAAAAAAAAATATTTAATAAAAGTTCCGGTTTAGACAAGGAAATTTTTCAAATCCTTTTTTAAAACTGGAAATCTTAATAGTTCAATATAAACGGTTATAAAATATGACGATTGAGGACAGAAGTAATAAGAAAAATTCAAATTCAACAACAACAGCAACATCGAATTCTGCTACAACACCTACAACAATAACAACAGCAACAAATGTTGTTGGAAATGAAATTAAAAATGATGTCGGAAATAATACCGCCTGGCATCAACAGAATAGCCAATGCAGTAAAGACGATTCTTCTGGAGATGATAACGATTCACCGGAAACAGCAAAAACAACTGATCCACTTAATCCGAAATTTGTTGGAAATAAAAATGAGGTAAAAATGAAATGTTAAAAAAAAAGTCAAAAAATAATTATAATCCTTTACCGCGGTATACACATATAGATTGACACATTTTTTTTTGGCAAATAGATGCTTTTATTTTATATGTGTACATAAAAATTATCCCCGTTCGTATACCATTTGAATTTGTGAGCTTAAAAAATCGAACGAACATGGGAAAAATTTTGTATTTATGTTAGGCAGGGCTTAGAGTTAATAATTTTCAAATGAAAACTTTAAACGTTTAAATTATTTTTATCAGCAAATTCCTTTATCAGCAAATCAAGATTTAGTCGCAATGTGAATTCTTAAATTTCATATTAAATTACTTATTTTATCTTTAATTATGTTTAATTATGATATTTTCACGGGCTCATCTCTTTAAAAATCTGTCGAATGATAAAATAGACCACAAAAGTCCACAAATCACAAGTTTTAACGAGTTAAAACAAATATTAAATCACTAAACAAAAGATAGTAACGGATAAACGCATATTACATCAGGCACCACTCTACGTGATTCTAATTAATGCAAATATATTCTATACACGTATAAATCTTGCGGTGTCCTATTCAACTCCTAAATGAAAAACTTAAAACTTCTCTGCTTTTCGGCAGGATAGGACAGTACAACCAAAAATATATTATTTTTCACAATGGAATTGCAGTAACCCTACATCAATCTTGGATTTAATAATCAGCACTTGTAAGTGTTATTGTTTTTATAAAGTATTACTGTCAAGGGTTGAATGCTATTACAATGGAAATTATTACAATGGAATTCTCTAAAATAAATCTACTATCAATTGAGAGACCGCAAAATTGTAAAAATCCCTAAATTCTTGACCTTTAAGTTGAATCAAATTTTAAGAAAAAATTCATACAAAATAATCACGTTTAAAATAAGAGCAACAAATAAAAAATTTTTAAGTATTTATTTTATATGTGCCATTCTTTTTCATTCAAAACCCAAAAAATTCTGCAACCTACTTATGTACATACATAGATATTATAAAATTCCTATTTATCCTAAACTTTTTTTAACATAGTTTTCCTTTTATTTTATACGTTTAGCGTGTCCTTATTGTATCTGTTTCACCGGAACGAAAACGTGAAACATGGGGTCAAAAAGTTGAATTTCTTTTAGCTGTTATTGGATTTGCTGTTGATTTGGGGAATGTTTGGCGTTTTCCTTATATTTGTTATCAAAATGGTGGCGGTGCGTTTCTTATACCATATTGTATAATGTTTTTATTTGGTGGATTACCCTTATTTTATATGGAATTAGCATTAGGACAATTTCACAGATGTGGATGTTTAAGCATTTGGAAAAGGATTTGTCCGGCTTTAAAAGGTAAGATATGAAAAAATGAAAACAAAACATATAAAAAACAAAATAATATAATTTTAATTCTATTTTAATTAAATATCAAATTTAATTAAATATTTAATGATTATTCAAATGATATCACAAATTAAAAATAGCCATTACGAATTTTTGGTTTAGTGTTTAATATTAACATAAAATTACGAAATTTTGGTTTTTTGAATAAGGCTGTAAAATATCTTTGGGGGCACCATATAATCGGATTTAATTTGAACTTTAGAAAGAATTCCACCTGAGAACAGTGAAAAATTTAAGTTTAAGTACAATTAGAATAGGCACAAAAAACAGTAAATTTTACAAAATTGGGACCTAAAATTTGATTTTACTGTTTTTGTACAGTAGTTATTAAACGAATACACAGATAAAGAAATGCACGGATATACATATTGAAAAGAAGAAAAAATTGCATATATATAGGCGTATAATTCTGCATATTAATATGTATAAGTAAGATTGGACATAAGTGTTTTATTGTATTTTCTATTCAACTCGTTTAATTTTGTTATTAAGGTATGTTATTAGAATTATAAGATAAATTTAAATTGCCGAGGACAAAGGTTAAAATAGACAAATAAACCAAAATAATTAAAAATTTTATGAAATCTACATGTACATGGGTAAAACAATAAGGGTTGTAATATAATAAAATGCTTAGTATTCACTTTACCCTACTGAAATTATATGGTTTAGATATACATACAAAATACATTTGCCAGAATTAAAAGTAATTGTAGTTACCTTATTTAAAACAATAAACCCTATGAAAAACCTAGATTTGAACAATTTCCATTGAGACGGCGTTCCAATTTAGTTTAAGTATAGTATATTTTTTTTCGCTTCCTCCAATATATGTTATATGGCGTTAGAATCGAACCAACGTTAGAATCGAACTTACTTTAATTTTTCTAGTCTCTTTTTTCTTTCTATATCTGTCTTTTGTTGCAGCGCTCATTTGAGAACGGGAAAAAATAGGGGCTTGAAACTTTTAAAATATATTTAATTTCTATTTTGCGCTGGTTAGCATTAAAAGTATGTAAATATGTGTTACTGAGCCTAATACTCTCAATACAAAGTTCAAAAAAGGTCGTGGCAAGGACTTTTAAAAATTGGAACAAATATGGCCATGCACAAAACGTTGTTAATGGCCACAATACTGTATATGAAACCGCAACTCCAGAACTATAATTTTTTTAGTCTTACACTTCTAAACAAATTGTTCCAATAGAGAAACTTCATTATGAATTGTGTTGTACTTCTATTCTACTCTGAGATCAATCTCAACTTTTTTATTTGTGTTAATTTGAATATTTTAAGGATGTTACAAATTATTAATATATAATTTCCATCAAATTAAATAAATTACTCAAACTATGCGTAAATTGGAGGTTTAAATAAAGTACTTCTAAAAAATTTTAATTTATTTATTTGCGATTAGGAATGCTTTAATATTCTTTTAATTTTTATAAGATTCAGATTTGCATACAATACGAGCGTATAATATATACAATATTATTTACCTGTACTACACACTATATATGACAAGTGCATGTCTAAATGGAACACTGATTTAAAATTTAAATTATTTTTTAAAAATATATGATAGGATCCTTTAATAAAAGAATTTCTAATTTATTTTAATAACACCATTAAAATGTGATTTTTCTGATGACCCAATATTTATCTTCATATAATTGTTATATTGTGTGAAATTTTACCGCTCGATTATTTTTATTATTATTTTTCTTCTTAACTGAACGTGTTTTTTATTCTTTAACTCCATTTAGTTTTTTCTCCACAAAATTTTTTTTCTCCTCTAGTAACTTATGATCCCTACCTTTTTAGTTTAAGAAATTGTGATGATAAGTTAAATTGGAATAAGAAAAGCATAAGAAGAGAAAATTGTATACAATCACAAAAAAAAATCAAATAACAAATGAAGCCAATATGACACGTTAAAAATTCCTCAGCAAACTGACTGCGAAGGAGAAAAAAAATAAATATACATACGTACATAATATTAATAAAAATGTCCTTTATTGCAGTGCACAATGTGCGTGTATAGACATGTTTTCTTTAATTATGAATTTTTTTCCCCTTTCTTTTCCTATATATTTTTTTTAAGGTTTTATTTATTAGTTGCGAATCCACTATAAGGATGAAACTTCTTGTCTCTCTTTGTAATAAAAAAAATCATGTAGAATTAAAGATCGAAAATATTAGAATTTTTTATGCTATCATTTAAGAAGGTTTTTCTAAATGTTTAAATGTCTGACATAGACGTTATCAGGGAAAAGTTTGAAAAGAGTTACTTTTTGAGAAAAAATACGATAAAGACAAAAACTAAAGAACAAAAATTAAAAATAATAAAAATATTTTTATTTCAAAAAATATTGTAACTGTTAAGGACATTGTTATGCGGGATGATAAGTTGAAACTAAATTTTTTTTTGGTTTTCAAGGAACTGTTAATTAAGATGATGTGCTTTAAGTATACAATATAGTGTTATTGAATTGGAGATTTCATATTTTTGTATTTTGAATTTTTTCTATATGCAGCACATTTTAAACACGCACATTTCAATGATAACAAAATAAGTATTTAAAAAAAATATTTCTATTATGAAATTTTCAATTGTTTTTGTTATACACTAAAATATTCTAATTAGCTAGCTATATTTTTATTTTGACAGAAGTTGAAAAATCTTAAAATTAAATTGCATGTTAAAATTTGCATATTTATAGGTGTAAGCTGCTTTATTTATTATTTGAGTCTTAAATGAAAAATGGTTTTTCACTTGTGTCAAATCTTTTGAATAAGCTTTAAATAAATTTTTGTTGAATATTAATTTATTAATCATTTAAAAATAAAATTTTCATTAAGGGAAAAGCTGTAAAATATAGGAACTAAATAATCCGAATTATATTACGAATTGTTTTACTCGGTTTTGTGAGAACATTACACTTTTCTCAATTAAAAAGATAAATTAATAATGAGATTAAACAGAACTATTGAGCAATAATACTTGAAAAATTAATAACAGTAACATAAAGCGTGAAATACTTGATGTAAAATTCATATTTACTCCGCAGAGATGTAATTTTGGTTTCAAAATCATTTTCGTTTCGTAAACTTCTTGTACAACTCAGTAAAAAAGTTACTCTAATTCTCTAATTAACGTGACATTTTTTTTATTTCTAGATTTTATAATTTTATAATGCACAGATTAAAATTTTTTTATGGCACTGATTTTATTTATTTTACTATAATTGTATTTTTAAAATTATTTGTGTACAATTAGAATTAAGCATATAGGCTTAATTCTAAAGAGAGATCGGAATGTAATTTTAAGAGGAAATTATTAAATTCATTAAAATAAATAAATATATATTAAATAAATTAGAACTGAGTCTGAGTTAAAAGATTAAGAGTTAAAAGATATCTTGTAGTACATTTTATCTTGTAATGAAATTTTGAAGGAAATTCAAATACTAAATCTAGGTAGATCAATATTTACATACGCAATAACTTTTCATCTTTGATGTCCCACAAATTATATTTTGGCTGATGAATTATGTATCACATACATGTAAGAATCCTTAACGTTATATTGTGATATATGAAGTTAATTTCGCTCAAAACTCCTCCATTCCAAAACATGTATAAAACGTATATAAAAAAGTAAATATTAATTTTATTTTGATCATGTAATTTTTTTTTTTCAAATTTTAATAAATATACGAGTAATACACATTTGAAATCTTTTATAAGAATGATACTCGTATTTGTTAAAACATTAGCTTTTACAAATATTTGATAAACAAACAAAAAATATATGATTCTTCCCTAATTTTTTTCTATTTCAATATTCCTAATTTTTTTTTTTTGATTTCTGTATTTTTCAATTTATGACTTTGTGTACATTATCAATTCTACAATTTTCTAATTTTTTATCAAATTTGAAATTGTAACACACACAAACCTATTATTACATTATTTATGAAAATATTATTAGAGTCCTTAATACTTATTAAATATACAATTCAATAGCCATACCTTTCTTTATAGCATATTTTCAAAAATAAATTTAAAAAAATTTACGCTACTTTTATACGTCCCGTACGTACATAAATACGTCCGTCTGTTTACAAATTTTAAATCCTTGAGTAATATAGAAGAGGACAATTTTATATAACCAAAAGTAATTTTGTGGAAAATCGGATTTCCGTAGAGTAAAATTTGAGCTCAAGTTTTCAAAAAAACAATGTTTTAATTTCCCAAACGAGTAATGATAGAAGCTTAAACCTTTTGTCATAAAAAGGCACAGGCAAAAATTTATATTCCTGTTAACATAACTGGAATATAACAAAATTCTTGTTAAAATTTAGCGATATTTCAAACCAGGTTTTTTTTTCAATTTTTAATACTTCTTTCAATTTTCCTCTCACACAGTAAGCTATAAAAGTTTTGCTTCTCAAAATCTTTAAAATTTAAAATTTCGGTAAATTATTTATTTTGAAACTGAAGTTTTGTCAAATTTCTGTGAAAGTGAAGAGTAATATTAAATTTCTTAAATCGCGCACCCACAAATTTTGTAAATTAAAATATAATACATTAGTATTATATTTTAATTTACAAAATTTTTGTTTCTTTAAATGTTTGTTTTCCGAGTTCTAAAAGTACGTAATTAAAAAACATATGATGTTTATCAAAATTTCATTACTTTCTGAACACTCTGTAAATTATTATAAATTAATTTATTTAATAATTTATTTGATATTTTGTAAATATAAAGTAAGCCACGATAAATTAAATACAAAAAAAAATGTTTTCAATTTTTTAAGGAAAATGTGCTATTTTACAAACCGTTTATTTGGTCTAAATTTTCTTTATTTACCAACATATGTATGCGTATATAGTATCGAGATTTATTAATATGAAATCTGAATTTCCATGTATTGTGCATAATATTCGTATTCTAAACGATTTGTAAAATTTTTAACTCAATTTTGTTTCATTTTGTACTCCTCTCTACTCTCTATTACATGTTTTGAAAATATACACAAAAAGCAACAAGTTGCCGTCATGATACAACACTTGTCGTCTCCATTCTGGCGTTTATTATCCTTCTTTACCTATATAATATTAGTTTTTGATTTTTATTGTCATTGATGTCTTTGAATCCCTGCTTTTTATCTATATGTATATTTATGTTTATTCATCAATCTACGAAATCATCTCTTGTCGATAGAAAAAGCATAACAATTAAATAATAATAAAATATCCCCAAGATTCAATATAAAGATTATCAAGGGATATTCAAATAGAATGAGCTCTCTATATAAAGAGTAGAGGAGTGAAGAGAAAAAAATTTATAAGAACTATGAGTGAAGAGAGATGAAGAAGAGTTGAATTTTTTCTTTACTTTTCAAAATAATAAACAGTTTATGACGAAAAAATTTTTACTTGAATTAGAAATTAAAAAATATACATTGAAAAATTTATATGCAGATTTATATATTTCAATATAAAATGTATGTATGTATGTATATCTAAAAATTATATTTATGAGATTATTTTATAAGCATTAATAAATTCATCATTCAATTTTTGAAAACAATTGAGATTGATTCAATTATAAATGAAAGGGGCGACATGAATGTATTCGAGAAAATTGAAGAACGGTTAGTAAATTGTTATAATAATTAAAATAAAGAAAAGGACGATAAATTTTTTGTTATTTGTAACTGTACTATGAGTTTAATATTAAATTCAATTCATGATGATTTGTTAAAATAAAACTTGTATAAGAAGAGAATTAGAATAAAAGATTTTTTTTTCTGATCGTTTTTTAATAGATATTTTGTATCCTTATTATATATTGCCTTCTTGATATCTTAAAGAATAAAAATACAAATAAATAAAAAAATAAAATATGCAGAAAGAAAATGATAATTTCATTATCAGCTCGTTAGACTTCTTTTGATTTTCATAAGATACTGTAAAAATGTATACGTTTGTATGTATATGAATTTTGTATAGAAAATATAAATTATAAGAAAAACATTTTTCTCGCTCTCTGTGTATTATGTTATCTTTGTATGTTTATATAAGTCAAGAGCATATAGTATAAGGATTCTTTATATTTAAACGTTGCACGCCATTTTTCCGAAATACAACTTGTTGATATTTTCTAATTTTATTTTTATTTCAAGGAACTTTTTCGTATATACTTTCTCTTTTATATAACATTTTTGTGCATATAGTTCATGCTATCTGGTATATTGAATTCGAATATATACACATATTTTGTAATATATTTACATTATACACGTTCATAGATTAGATATTGAAGACAAACCACTTAGCAAATAAGTAATTAAATCTGTGAGATTGTATGATGATGAATGTACTTGTATAGTGAATAAACTTGGCTTACCGATTTGATTCCTTGACAATTTAATTTTTCTTGTTTTTTTTAAATTTTAAGTTTTTAAACAAAATATTTATATGATTTGTTCATCTTATCCAAGAATATATCTGAAATGTGTTATTATGTAAGTGCGTGTATATGTTTATTAATTTTGTAAATTTAAATTTTATGTTTTGTATAAAGTTTTATTACTTACGAGTATAAAGAAAATGGAACAGCTCAAAATATAATTAGATTTATTGAAATTTTTAATTTATAATTAGCTTATCCTTTGTGTATAGTTTATATAGTTAGTTTAAAGTTAAAAAACTTGCATCTTCCACTATATAGTATATTGTGTATTCATGTATGTATATTGTATAGCATTATGTATGTATAAATTTAAAGATAGATTAGGAGAACTATTGACAAGAAATTTTTGAAAATTAATTTAAGATATTTTGCATATAACTTTTAAAATTTCTAATAATTTAACTAAGAAGTTTTTGAAATTTTTCGAAAGTTGTCAAAAATGTTTTTTAATATTTATTCTTTAAAATAAATTTATAATAAGGCTACATAACAAATAAAATTTAGTTAAAGATATAAAATATTTTATTAAAAATTAATTTATGGGTGATTTTCTAAGTTTTTATATTTGTAGAAAAATAATTTTTATAAATAAAATGTTGACCAAAACTTTAATTATAGTCCAGTCAAAAGATGAGGGTGTGAAATATTTTTTCGCAAATTTCAGCCGAATTATCTGCAATCAAACATTTAATATTATTTGTTTAAAGCTATACAAGATTCGAATTGGTCAACAAAAACAAGAAATTATTCATCCAATAAAGAATATATTATTGAAGCGCAAAAGCTTCTTGATTATATGGTTATATTTAAAATAATTGCTTACCAAGTGTACGATAATTTAATTTTCAACAATATATTGGAGGTATTTTTCTTAAGCGTTATTCTGTTCTTGTGTGAGGTCGCAATCCAAACTGAATCAATTTGAAGACAAAAGGAGAAGACAATCACTCGGTATACATACATATTTTTAAAAAAAATTTATTGTAGAAAAGAAATAATTTGCGATACACTTATTTTAGCTAAATATCCAAAATTTTGCTACTATTTTTGTATTGTATTAAACAAATTGGTGTTAGATCTACATTTAATTAAGAAGATGTCGCTATATGCATAAAATTTTGCATGCATTTTTTGTAATTTTTAAATTTAAAATATCTAACGAACGCCTAAACTAAATCTTATATGTCTATAATTATACAAAATTATTATTCAAAATTATTGTAAATTGCATTACATGTAGTTCAAATAATTACATCTACATACATAATATATATATATATAGATATGTATGTATGAATAATGTATTTCATAAAGCAAGTATCTTTAATTATTTAAAAATTTTCTTAACAAAATTCATTTGTGTTGAGTTCTAATTTAAAGTTGAAAAAAACTTTTATCGTTTACGCAAAACCAAATTCATATATACAAGTATATGCATATGTAAACATAGGTATAATTGCAATAAAATAACCTTCAATACCAGGAGTGGCCAAACTGTGGCTCTTTGAAAAATTTTTTGTTCCTCTTGACATAAATGTGTTTAAACTACCTTCTCATATTTGTGTTGTTATATTTTAAATTGTTATCCGTATGTGTTTCAAAATGCAACTTTATAGCAAATTTAATTTCCGTTCAAGTTAAAGAAGACACAACTTATTTGAAATTACGCGAAAGAAAACAGTACCGTAATCGTCCGAAACTATTCGACTCCAGACCAATTTTAAAACTTGTGAAGAAAACAATTTGCTACAGATAAAAATTTGTAATCTGAAGTTCTGGATAAGAAATTTTCCAATTTTGGCTTTCGAAAAATTCTTTATGACTCGGCTTATCAAGGAACATGTCCACCTCTGTTGTATACAGTCTTGTAACACAGTTTTATTTTTGTGTTCCATATTTTTGGTATAATTACACAGATATTAAGAAAAATGATTGAAATTAAATTGTTAACTGAATACAAAAAATTAAATTGAATGTGGGTGTAATTAGTAAAGAATTTCGCGATATCGCAATAATTAAATAAATTTTCTTAAATGAAAACACACAAGTATAAAACAAACATATATGAAGGGCTTATAGCAAAATAGGAAATGTTAAAATTGTACACATTGTTACAGATTTTATTTAATTAGAAGAAAAAACAAAGAAAAGAAATTTATTTTCTTAATAAATACAAAAATTACTCAACTTAATTTCAATTTAATTCTAATGACAACCAACATGTTGCAGCACAATATATTATGTTTCTTGTTGTTTATTTACATTTTTGGTAATTTGACAAAATAATTTCTAAAAGTTTATGGAAGTCAAAATTCTTTATCTTTGAAGTAAGAAATTGTAATTTTATTTTTTCTGTTTATTTAATAACTTTCTTATATTTTGGTGTTTTGAATTTTTTTAAGGAATTGGATATGCAATATGTCTAATTGATGTATATATGGGAATGTATTATAATACAATTATCGGATGGGCTGTTTATTATTTATTTGCATCATTTGGTTCATCTTTACCATGGACATCGTGCCATAATATTTGGAATACAAATAGTTGTTTACCAATTACAGATTTAAATTACACAGCAAGCAGTAATATTACAAGCCCTGCCAAAGAATTTTTCGAGTAAGTCACAATCAATAACAATTTTGTTATATAAAAGTAAAACATATTTCATATTTTAATTTTTATTTAATTACTAATTTTAACTCGTTTTATTTCATTTGTGTAGACGAAAAGTTCTTGAACAATATAAATCAGATGGTTTAGATTATATGGGACCGATAAAACCGACATTGGCATTATGCGTTTTTGGTGTTTTTATTTTAGTTTATTTTTCATTGTGGAAAGGAGTTAAAAGTGCTGGTAAAGTTGTATGGGTAACAGCATTAGCACCATATGTTGTTTTAATTATATTATTAATACGTGGTGTAACATTACCTGGAGCTGATGTTGGTATACGTTATTATTTAACACCACAATGGCATAAATTAACACAATCGAGGGTAAGCAAAATTTTTTAATTAAATTAACAAAATATAAAAATTTTATGGGGGTTTTTCAAAATCTGAATTTCCAATTTAATAGACTCTAGAGCTTAAGTTCTAAAACTATAATTATAAATACAAGACTCTATCGCACAATTTTGATATCATCATGTACTCAGATTTTGCAATTTTGCGGACATCGGCTTCTGGTGAATTTCAATAGATTCATTATATTCATAAGTTTTCAGATTATGCGGATAAATCTTAGAAAGTATATGAGTTAAATAAAAAATTTAAGATATATGTACTTATAAAATATTTACTAATGACACCTCCATTTGACCTTTACAAAATTTATTTTGGATGCTTACTAAAATGCAGATTTAATTTGCACTTGAATTACCAAGTAATGAAAGTTGAATAGATGAATAAAGTATGTTTGAGATTACTTTGCATTTAGCCTCTACGGTCCTGCCCCGAATCAGGTGTTGGAATGCTTTCTCTTTCATTAAACAATTTTTATTTTATTGGCATTGATTATCGTGGTAATAAGCGTTATTATTTTCTAATCCACTCCTCTGATTCTAATAGGTAATAGAATAACAACGCTATAAGACGAAATGAGTTACAAACACACACACTTGACTTATTTCTATTTTATTAAACAAATCAAATTTTCATTAAAGGTTTGGATTGATGCTGCTTCACAAATTTTCTTTTCATTGGGTCCTGGTTTTGGAACTTTATTAGCCCTATCCAGTTACAATAAATTTAATAACAATTGCTATCGTGATGCTTTAATAACAAGTAGCATTAATTGTTTAACAAGCTTTTTAGCTGGATTTGTAATATTTTCCGTATTGGGGTAAGATCATTACTTTTAATTTTAAGGTAAATTAGGCATGCACTGAATTTAATGCATTTTTTCGTAGTTTCAAACAATTTGCATTTTAAAATATAAAAATATTTAGTAAATTAAAATCTTTTGAATTATACTTAATTTTTCTTCACATTTGTAACGCTTAGCTTCTATTCATAATTATGTCTTTAGTTTATCGTTTTAATAAAATTAATATTTTATATTTATAATTACATAATTGACTATTTTTTTTTTTCATACAGATATATGGCCTATGTTCAAAAAACTTCAGTTGATCAAGTTGGTCTTGAAGGACCTGGTTTAGTTTTTATTGTATACCCTCAGGCAATAGCAACAATGACTGGTTCTGTATTTTGGTCAATAATATTTTTTTTAATGTTAATTACATTGGGTTTGGATAGTACATTTGGTGGATTAGAAGCTATGATAACTGCATTATGTGATGAATATCCAAGAGTGCTTGGAAAGAGAAGGGAAGTGTTCGTTTTCTTTTTATTGATTGCAATTTATTTGTGTGCGCTGCCAACAATGACTTATGTAAGTTATATAATATTTTGCAAATTCTTTTTCTTATATATGTATAAATTTAAATTTAATTATGGATAAATCATTTTACGTATATAACACCTACCACCTGCGACAAATTTTTGACAATTTTAGCAAACATTTATAGTTATAGTTATACTTGTAGCAAAGATAATATAAATGAGGAGATTAAACTGTCATATACATAGGAAGGCCAAAAATCTAATATCAAGCCACTATAGACTTAATATCATGTCCTAGAAACTTTCTGTGTGCTTTCGCCTGATTTCTCAATGCATTATTTATTATTAAACATTATTATTAACCTCTGCTATAAGAGAGCAAAATATTTTTGATAATATTTAATAATTTAACAGCTTTAAAATTTTGTCTTTTTCGAATAATAATTGTGATTTACTCACTGAAAGAATTTCCACGGAAACTAAATTTAATATATGCGTAGGTCTCGTAGGTACACAAACTTAAATAGCTTTTGTAAGCGACAAAACATTTTTTCTTATTAAAGTTAAGTAAACAAAATTTCTGGTTGGATGAAAAAGTCTTGATTCTAATTTACAATTTTTATTTTTATTCCATTTCAGTTAAACTAAATAGAGACAAAACCTTTCCTTAGCGTGTTATATTATTTAGGCATATATATGTAATATATATCACCACGTACTTGTGCACTGTGAAAATAATTTATAAATGTTGTATAAAATGTCTAAATTTAGACGTTACAATCTTGAACACACATATACAATGCAATTACATAATTATATAGAAAATGAATTTAACAAGCAACAAGCTTTTATTGTGGCTATTTAAAAAACTTGAATGTGTAAAATAAAATTTGTACCAATTGCTTACCCTATCATTCATGTCAATATATTGCAAATTTATTTCATCATGATGTTCATTATTAAATTGATACTTAAATGATGGTGATGATAATGGAGTAAGTAAGTAGTAGAAAAAAAGGAACAGGACATTAACATTAAAAATCCATTCCTTTAAATCAGTCAAGTAGTCACTTTTATTTGTTGTTCTCTTAAGCATCCTATATATACATATATATATATATATATATATATATATATATATATGTATAAAATAAGATAATAAAAAAAAAAAACTATTTTATAAGAAACTGAAAGAATAAATTCTTGATTTTTATGGGTGTGCATACAAATCCTATCTGTAGTTGGAAAAGAATAAAAAATAACTTTTTTTTGAAGGAGTTAAGTAGTTTTATTTGTTCCTTTGAATATCTTTCAAGTTTCTCTCCAGAAGTTTGTCTTGTATACTTTGTAGAAGCAAAGTATCTTTATATATTTTTTGAAACATATCTACACATTTTATTACATCTTTACGCACTATAAAATGATTTGTTTTCTTTAAAAGAAAAATTATTTAAATACCAAAGAAATTTGTGTGTACGCTTATGCACAGATAAATTTTAAATAAATATCCATACAGTTTGATGTATGTACAAATGTATTAGGTATTTCTGTTAAAAAATCAATTGAAAATGCATGAAAAATATGTTAGAAGATATTGACGTTCATATTGCTTGAATATTTTAAGAGTAACGTCTTTTAATTAATACATATAAAGTTTCGCAAAGGTTTCTCCTGAGTTGTAGAAATTTACTTGAAAAAAATTTAGCTTAGAAGTTAGATATATGAGACTTAATTCAAATCGAATCGTACGGAAATTGCTTGTTTTGTAAAAGCATTTTTAAACATTTTCGAAAGTTAAAAATTTTTGGAAAATTTCATTTTAAACTTTTCATTTTCCTATATTTAAAAACTCGATTAGAGCCAGATTAGAAAGAGGACATTAGTGGGGGTTCTCACTGGACACTGCCTGTCGAGGGTCCACCTGAAAAGGATGGACAGGGTGCCGGATGAGGTCTGCTGTTTATGCCTGGAGGAGGACGAAACCATGGCGCACTTACTGTGTGAGTGCGAGGCGGTTGCTCGCCTGCGGCTGAGGTGCTTCGGGAGGGAGGGGCTTTGTGACCCCGGGGAGGATCTCGCAGCTTGATGTGGCTGCCATACTACGGTTTGTCAGGGGCCTAGGAAATGAGCTAATGTAGAGGAGATGGGAATCACAAAAGATCCCATGGGTCGACGTGAGGGCCTCGGTCCCCGTGGAGAAAAAAAAAACTCGATCACCAACAAGACGCTTTTGTATTTGTGAAAAATTTTTGTTTCTGAACAAAAAATTTATTCATATTCTAATTTTTTTTTTATTAGACCGAAACCAGGAAATCGAGACTCATAATTGTCAGAAAAATTTATATTTTGGATAAATCTCATTCTACCTCATAAATTTTTAAAGTTTCGAGATCAAAACCACCATTTCTGAGTTTTCTATACATATGGAACAAAATTTAACGGTTTTTCGAAGAGCCGCATCAAATTAGCAATTATGTATGTTAGTTTAATTACTAAGAAAATATTTACTTAAATCACACAGGTATTAATGTATATTCAATCGTTTTAATTTATACTAAATCATAGAAATGCAATTTTGAATTTAGGACTTAAATTAATAAATTACGCCACCATATGTATAAGATGAACTGCATTAATATTGTGTTATACTTTACATTTAATTTTGTCAAATTAAAGGTTTTGAAGGTCTTAAAATTCAAAAGGTTTCTGCCTATTTTTTTTTTAAGAAAAACGAATTAAACACAAAATCCATAATTCAATTAGCATTGGATCTGATCTTATGATAAAGTAAAATGTGTTAACAATGTAAATAGATTTTGAGGCATAAAACAATGGTAACACTCTTCAACGCCATTACAGATTACCCCATATATGTATATGAAAAATTTTCCTTCTCTTCATTGTTAATAAATAATTTATTTTACAAACCAAATGATTCATGGTCAATTTCACATCATCTTTGAAATTATTCGTGTAAAGAAGAGTAAAATATTCTGAATATTTTATGTTATCTCTGATTTAATATATAAAATATATTCGTATATATAAATAATAAACACTTTTATAAAATATCGACTGATAACGGACCATATGATAACACTACAACAGAATAAATAAACAGTAACAAAAAAATTGCATAACTCTAGGATATCTTTTTATAACAGTAAATAATATTGTAGTGCATATAAATTTATTTTTTTGTAAGAAGCTCCTCCAGCTTTTGGCAATTGCTTTATAAAATTAACTACATAATTTAATTACTAATAATAATTATAAGTTGTTAAAAGCAAATCGCCCACTTGCTGCAACAGCGACATAACTCAAAAAATACGATTTCTGAGTTATTTAGACAGAAATAAGCATTTAAAGCATTTCTTTCTTGTGTAAAAGGGCCATTTTCCTAGCTTGAAAATGATAAAATAATGCTATAATTAGAGAAACATATTAGCTCCAAAAATTTAAAATTCAATTTCTTTAAATGTAGAAATTTTCATACCAGTGTTGCAAGAAACAAGCGATATTTTTCGGAAATAAAAATTTTTTTCCAGAAACGAGCCAATCAAAAGTTCTTACCTTATGGTTGTCAGTGCAAAAAAAATTATTTACATTTTGAAATTTCCACAATTTTGTGAACAAATACAAAAACAGATTTCTCTTACTATTTGGGAGAAAATTTAAATGTCACTAAATATTCTAAAATACAATACAAGTTTCGGGTTTATACAAAATAGAAGTTTTCAATAAAATAAGGTCTTGATAAATATATTTATAGGAGTAATTCATTGTGCTTCTTAAATATAATGCTCTCTATCTTTTAATAAATTTAATAATAAATTTAATAATTTAATAATAAATCTATCAGATTTTGATTAAGTATGAAGATTTAATATTATTATCTAAATTTTTTCGTCCAAAAATTGGATGCGATTCGGTTTGTGAAAATTATGGAATAAAATTTTTAAATCTACTTGGAAACGAGCAATTTGTTGAATTTTATTTTATTTCAGACAATTTAAAATCAAATATTGAATATTAAAAATGGAAATTGATTTTCATAATATCCCCAAACAAGAACCAATAATTTGTTTCCTCGAACATTTATACATACCTACATAAAAAATCAAAGTACAAAAGGAAAAAAAAATTTTTTTCAGGTGTAAAACTCGATAATTTTTTCACACTGGAACGTACCTATGTGTGTGTCTGTATACTAATTCATTTGTTTTATTTATTTATATAACTTGGCAATTTTTAAATTACGGACAACAGATTTCCCCGTATTTTTTTTCTTGTAATGAAATCATAATATATACATACATATACAAGTAATATATACATACATAAGTCAAGTCTTGGCATCTCCTTACTTTGAACCCATCAATATACTTCTATATACAAGTGCATATACACGCAGTAATCGCATATATTCTCTTTTCTCTTATTTTGGTTTTGCTTTTCTCCAATTCTTAATGGATGAATGAATGCCCAAAGATTTAGCACTATCTTTGATTACATTTAAAATTATAATTAGACATACATTAATACCTTTCAACAACTTAAAGAGTATTTATGAACTTTTTATGTTTGAACATATTTTTTAACATTTAGTTTTTACCACAAAAAATTAATATGTAGGCAAGAAAAATCTTATTAAATGGCGATAGAAAAATTTCAGGAGTAAAACAAAATTAGGTTTTGAATATTTTTTCATTTTGTTTTTATACAACATGGACAAAATTAACTTAATAAGAAGAAGACATGTTTTTTGAAAAAATAATTTTATTTTTAATTTTATAGAGCATAATCAAACTCATATATTCGCGACAATTTAACTTTAGAAAATAAATCGCATATCTGAATGCAGATTGAACTTCATTTTAACGTATTCAGCAATTGAAATTGTTGAATTAATTGCTGAAGAAATTAAGCTAACGTTAGATTTGCATTGTAGGTAGAAACAAATACCGGTCTACTTAATGACAATTTATTGAAGAAGTGCATAATTTAAATTACCATCACTTTAACGATAAATTTATTTGTTCTTCTTTCTTTTCAATACACATATGTAGGGTGGTGTTTATTTAGTTAACTTTTTGAATGTTTATGGACCAGGGTTAGCTATATTATTTGTTGTGTTTGTTGAAGCAGCTGGTGTATTTTGGTTCTATGGCGTTGATAATTTTTGTGCTGATGTTGAACAAATGCTTGGTCATAAACCATCAAAATTTTGGAGAATATGCTGGACCTATGTCAGTCCAACATTTTTATTGGTAATTTATTATAACTAATAAATGAATATTAAAAATTTTAATACGAAAATGAAATTTAAAAATCAAATTGTATTTAAAAAATTTTTTTAGGGAATATTTATATTTTCTTTACTTGGATACGAAGAAATGCTTGGATTTGAATATAAATATCCAGAATGGAGTTTCTCAGTTGGTTGGGCTCTAACTGCATCATCAGTCTTATGTATTCCAACATATATGGTATATAGATTTTTGATAAGTAGAGGAACTTTAGCAGAGGTAAAATTTTTATAATAATAACAATATTATAATTAAATTTAAATAAATTTTTTTTTAATTTTTTTTAGAGATTTCAAGAATCTTTTAAACCAAGTACTCATTTACAAATAACACTACCTGGTCAAACAGGCACTGCAGTTTGACATGACAATTGCTGTAGTACAATACAAAATCAAAATAATTTTACAAAGAAATTACCATGGACATTCGATGAATATTTTTTAGCTGCAACTGGTGTTACAACACCAATGATAACAACTACTGTAACATCATCAAAAACAGTTAATGGTAGATATAATAAGAATTATGAATATAATAATTATAAAAATTTAAATCAGTCACAATCGCAATATCAACAACAACAATTAAATCATCAACAACAACAACATCATCAATATTATAATCAACATCATAATCAATTTCATCGAATGTTACGAATTACTGAAGATTATCCCTTAATAAAACCCTGTCGGCCATTACGTTTTTCATTTGCAAGTGAATGGCTAGTCTAAAATGAAAAAAAAAATATAAAGTGATATTTAAAATTTAAAATCGTTTAATGATATTTATATACATATATAATATGAAAATAAAAATAATAATTAAAATGTAGTTTAATAGATTTTGTAAGTTAATTTATATATTGCCCAAAGCTTAAACATTTTCCTCCGTATAGAACAAAATATTTATAATGTGTAATTAAGATTAAATATTCTAAAAAAATTAAAAATTCAAAAAAAAAAATCTTAGTGGCAAAATTTCTATATATTTTGCATAATAATAATAAAGTTAGTTTGTTTTTTAAAAATTAATAAATAAAAGTATCTCAAAAATCACCTTTTATTATCCTATTTAAAGAAAATGAAAAATAATCAAAAATTATTATAAATTGTAAAAGATTTGGTTGATTTCGTTAATCAGTTTCTAAAAATTATTTTGTTATTAGGGCCAAAATTAATATAGCCTTTATAACACATTTGATTTATAAGACATACAGAAGATTCAAAATGGCAATTGCCATATTAAATAAATATTCAGTCAGCAATCCAATTTTTTTGCCAAAATTTAATAAATGCAAAAATAATTAATCAAAATCTCAAAAATACTTATATTACACTAATTAATTTAATTTATTTAATTACTTTTAGTAAAATTAATTTAGTAATTGAAATCTTTGTTGGAATTCCACAGTCACATATGATTGTAGTTCATAATTTCCATTATTTTATTCTTGGATTATTTACAGTAATTTTAATATTGCGTTTATTTCTATTTTTTTTGGAACAAATTCCATTCGATCATTTAATTCTTCTTTTAGGTACTTTTAGTTCTAATCAATAAATTTTAATCTTTCCATAATAATATTAAACGAATTTTGAACAATATTTAATTATTTTATTAAAAAATTGTGAAACAGGAACAACGAAAATTCTCTATTTTCTTTTCTACTTTAATTTCTGATTTATAATTAAAATTACTATATTTTCACAGTTAATTGAAATTTAAAAATATAAAATATTAAATTTCTCAAACAAGATTTAAAAAAATTCTAGTTTTTTCTGCGAATTCAAGGATAATAAAAGTAAAAAGTAATGAAATTATTAAAAATAAATTTCTTCATCCAAATTTAAATTATTTGTTTTATATCAAATATGTAATAATTCTTTTTTTCATAATAAATGTACCTTATCATAGCACTTTATATTCGTAATATGATTGCTTAACAATTATAAAAATAATTGAGCCACTACAAAATCAGAAAAAATTCAAAAAATCAATCTATGTTAGGAAAAATTTTTCTTAGAAAATATTAAATATTCGAATTATAAGTAGATTTAAATATTCTGAATAGTAAATTTGAGTCGTAAGTAAATATAAATCTTAACTGTTATATGAAAATAAAATATGAATTAATCAGAAAATAATAATTCAAAAAAAAAGTAGATATTAAATGTATGTTAAATAAAATAATCTATAATATTAATATAATTCGTATATTTAATTATAAATATAAAAAGCAATGTTTCAAACACACACTAACTTAATAATACAAAATAATTAATATTTCTAATTATTTACATACTTTTAATATTAAAAAATACTATAAAGAATATAAATAATAAAATCTCAATGATTTTTTTACAATTCTATATAAATTTAATTTGAGTTAATAAATAACAAAAAAAAAAAAAAAAAATGAAGAAAAAAAAATTGAAATTTGTAAATGTAAAAAAAACCTTCAAGAAATTATGAAAGCTGGTTGATATCAAAGACAAATAATAATTATAGATTCATATAAGAAATGTAAACATTTTTTTTCGGCAAAAGGTCTGAAAAAACAAAATTCTATAACAATGGAAATGATAATATAATTACATACTCAGAACAATTAATATATAATATATTAGATCTACAATGGTTTACTAAAAGTATGTTTCATATTGTACCCTACATCATACAAAAATACTTAATACATAATATTATATAAACTAAAAAACAAAATTTTTAAATATAATTAATTATAAAATTGAATTGGGATAATAATTAATATTTTTTATAAATAAAAAAAAATATTTGTCCAATAATGTATGTGATAGGTCGTCTACCAAGCTGTAGATTTAACATTAATTTAACTTATTCAACAAAATAAATTGTACTGCTGAGTAAGGCAAGTTGACGTCACATTTGCATTTTGGGAAATGCTCAAACATTTGTCCATTGTTTTTTAATTTTGTTTTTCATAACTTTAGTTTATTATCAACATTTTACAAAAAAAAATACATTGTACAAATACAAAAAAAAAAAGAAAGAGGAAAAAAATGTTTACAGACACCTTTATGTATAATACATGTTTATAAAATATTATTGTTGTATATCAAGACAAAACATAATCTATACTGAATGTTGTATGAAATTATAAAAAAATTTTACTAGCTCAAAATTTATAATCCATATTTAATAAATTTATTTATAATTTTAAGTTTTAAATTTAATAAAAACATAAACTGTTTCTCTTAATTATTTTATTGGACTCTTAAATTGTAATTATTTTTAGTAAAAACAACACTATTAGAAATTCTTTTGTGAAAACTTAATTTAAGTATAAAAGAAATTGAAATTTTTGTTTTATTTTTTTATATAATTTATGATTTTCAAATTTTGTATCGATAAAATATTGTATAATTATATAAAATGATTTAAAATCGGTAAACTGCAAAGAAATCGTAATAAATTTACAAAATTAAATTTTGAATGAATAATTTCAAATTTAAAGGTGTGATTTCTTTGATTTAAACATATTTATCAATTAATTCTTAATTGGGATTTAAATAACATTCAAAATCCCATATTACTCCCTCTGAAATTGCCCTTGTATTTAACACTCTTTTCAATAAAATATATACTTTAATATAGTATTATAAATAGGAGTAAAAATATACTTATATAAGTATATAGATTTAATAACTTATGTAAATAACTATTATTTAATCAAAATATTTAATGAACAATAATTATAGTAATTTATTTTTTATTTAAAAAAATTTTTTGAAATTATCATTATTATAACATTAAATAAATTTTTAAAATTTATAAGAAAATGTTATATTAAATGAATTTCCATAATGACTTCTTTAGGGAAGTAGTATTAAAAAGAAAAGCAAAATATTAAAAAATAAATATTTGTGGAAAAAAATTTATTTTTAAGCTTTTGTATATTTATTAATTGCAAAATAATGTAAAATGCACATATACATATACATACAATAAACACATAAAATACACATTTAAAAACTGTGATATGATAAAAGTACAATTTTAATATTTATATATTTACATATTTTCAAATTCATTAATACATACACGTATTACATTTATTAAACAATTCTATATAAAAATATAACATATAATATCACCCACATATTATGTATATATCAGTTATATTCTTTCAACTTTAACTTCATAAAATATTGTTATATATACTCTTAAATAATGCGTCTTATATAGTGTTAATTGAAATATCTATCTATTATATTCATTTAAAATAAAATTCGTTTTTGTTATATTATATACATTTATATATATAATAAGGGTTAAGTTTAAAAAGAGAATAATTAATTATAAAATTATTTAATTTAATACGAAATTTTATTTCCAGTTAAAATATAAAACTATAAATATCAATAATTTAATATTTTTAAAAAAAATTTTTAACAAAAATACAAGGGCATAAATTGTTCAAAGGTCAATTTAAAATTTAAAAAAATTATTGTATGTAAATATTATTTATAATGTTATTTTTATGTTATAGAGAAATTTATAACTTTCTAAGATATTAATTGGAAAAAATAAAATTTAATCAGCTTTTTATCGATATATAACATATTTTCAAATTGATAAATCGATTATATTTGTATTAATCGAAATTTTGGAGTTCTTCAATTAATATTTAAATAATCGATTTACAATATTATGAAAATATAATCTTTTTAGGAAACAATTTTTTAATTTTTTAATGTTTGATTTTAAAATTGTAATATAGTACATTATTAATGCACAATTGTAGATTATTAGTTTTGCATAATTGCTGAATTTTATTTAGCATAACGGTATTGCCGCAATATTAAAGTGAAAGAATTTAAGCAAAAATTTCTACAATTTATATTTTGAATATTTTTATATTAAATTTATTTTTAAGAAATTTTTAATAGTGTTGCAATACTTATAAAATTAAATATTTGTCTATATAATTTGTCTATAAATATTTTAAAATTTTAGTTAAATATCAGTTGAATAGTAGAATATTATTTTAATAAATTTGAAATATTTATGCGTATATTATGTATGTACATATAAAATATCGAAATATTTAAAAATAATTCATGTGTTTCAGAAGTTTACAAAACAATAATATTACAATGATACATATATAAGATTCTTCATTATTATTATCATTATTATATGTAAATGTAAATTATATCGAGAGCGAAGTAGCAATGACAATGCATTGAATTTTGTAATCTTTAAATTACAATTATTCATTTTGTATAAATTATAATATTTTTTTTATTTAAACAGTCTCTAATTATTGTCAAATAATGTCGTGATATGACATAAAAAAAAATTAATTTTTTTTTATTTAAAACTATTTTTTTTTATTGATGTAAACATTATGATAAAAAAAAAATTTGCACATTAACATTATAAAATATTATAAAAATGTTCCTAAAAATAAACATAAAAATAGAAAATATTAAAAAGAAAAATTTTCACATAATATATTATGATAACTCTATTCAATATTCCGAAATTTTCAATAATTATGGTAACTCTATTAAATGTGCTTGCCAATGCTTATATTATATTTGGTTTACAAGCATTGGTTAACAATATAATATGAATGAATACATAAAACAAATTAAAATATTAATAAAAATTTAAAATTGTAATATGAAAAATAATAATAAAAATTAATATAAGATTTCAATATCAAAATTATTTATATAAATGTTATTAAAAAATATACGTAATTTTAAAAATGTTCGATGATTGAATTAAAATATTAAAACTTAACATATTTTATAAAAAACAAAAATTGGTCCCCAAATGTAATTGAAAATTGAATTAATAATATCAAATACTTATGTATAGTAGTTGTAAAAATATTAAAATGTGTTTTTATTATAAAAATATTCACATATATAATTATAATTTGAAAAACAGTATATTGACATACTTATTTAATACAATGTTGAATAGCTATTAGTATAATAAAATTTAATATATATATATATGTATATATAATTGTATTTACTATATATTATAAATATTAAATATTATATAACTTAGATTAATGTAAAATTAAACTGCAGGTAATAGTGCTTTAGCTTTAAAACTATAAAAATATTAATTATATGCAAAATTATATGATAACAAATTAATATTTATTTAAATGAATATTTATAATGATTCTATATATATATATATATAAGTGAAATTTATAAAATTAAATTGAATTTAGAAAAAATATTGAAAATATTACAAATATTATGTAATGTAAACTCGATAATTTAAACGACAAAAAAAAAGAAAAAAAAAAACAAATAAAAACTATAAAACAAAAAAAAAGAAATGCATTTAAAAAGAATGTTAATATTATATATAAGCTTGTATAATGTAAAAATAAGGATAAAAATAATCTTAAACATACAGACATAATTTTTATGTTACATATAATAATATATTTGTTATACATATTTATAAAGTTCAATTGAAGCTGAATTTCGAATAAACCAAAAAAAAATTAAAAAAAAAAAACAAACACATTACAAAAACCAAACATAAAATAATTTTTTGTAAAGAAAAATTTTCTTAAATATACATAGATATATAAATAACTTATAAATAAGAATTTTATTTTAATTAAAATTATATACAATTTAACTTACATTTTGCGTTACAGGGCACTTTAGTTTTAACATTTTACCTTAAATTACTAAAAATATACTTTATGTAAAGTATCTACTCTACAAATTGTAAATATTTTATCTCATCTTAATGGCAAATGGCACCTCTAATTAACTCTAATTCATATTAAAATTATTTAAATGAATATAAAATCTATAGCACATAATGCGACTAACATAATGCATAATAGACCCTTATACATAGAATTGACCTTTTGATTTTGAAAAAATTTTAAAGAGATTCAATTTAAAATTTAAGAAAATGCTAATTTCTCTTATTTTTGAGCTTCTCTTCAAATAAAACTAAAACTATCTTCTCAGTACAATAATGTACACCGAACTAGTGAACAAATTATTTCTTCTTCGAAAATTTATGATAACAGTAAATTTACTATAAACAGATAATCTGAACTTTTTACAAACCGAATCCTTGCCAAACCGATTGACATTAATTATTAGAAACTTTACAAGAACCTTCATTATATAAATAACATTACTAAGTTAAAACAAACATAACCGACCGCATTGTGTATTGTCTAGTTAAATGAAAGTGTTACAGAATATTATAAAAATGTCTGTTAAATACTTCTTTCCAATTTTTAGGACATTAGTAAGCTTCTAGTTAACATACCCAGAAAAATGTAAATTTGGCTCTTAGTGGAGTTTCGCTTTGTGCTACCCGAATTCCCTGAAATGCTCGGCAGTTAGTTCCGGTAACAACCAGAACTCAAATATCAAATTTCAAGAAATTCCATCAATTCGTTCCGTAGATATGGGGAAAAATGTAAAATCGGCCTGCAGATCAGTTTTCCAGCCCTGATCTTTCCAAAAAATTTACATGTTCATTGTTTTAATACGAGGAATTCAAATATTAAATTTCAATGAAATCGGTTGATTATTTCTCTTTATATACACAAAAATGTATATTTGGCCGGTAGTAAACGTCTAGTTGCCGAAGCCTGATCTTTCCAAAAAATTTATATGTTCATTGTTTTAATACGAGGAATTCATATATTAAATTTCAATGAAATCGGTTGATTATTTCTCTTTATATACACAAAAATGTATATTTGGCCCGTAGTAAACGTCTAGTTTCCGATGCCTGATTTCTTCCAAAACATAGGAATTTTCGCGGACGGTCGAGCTGAGCTTATATATAAAATTTCGAGTAAATCGATTGAATATTTTCTTCAAAATGTTCAAAAATGTAAAACAGACCCGCTAAAAAGTGCAGTTCCCGAGGCCTGATATATACCAAAAGTTGATCAATCCGTGCCTTGGTGGAAATAAACTTACATATAAAATTTCATCAAAATCGGTTCAGCCGAACTTGAGATACACTCGTTCACACACAGACCGACAGACCGACAGGTTGCTAAAAATAGTTTATTTACACTTCCCTACTATGGAGAAGTACGTTCCCACCGAAAACTCGATATGCAAACTTTGTTGCCATCACATAACCTACCTATTGTTTACACATTACGGTCGGTAAAAATTATATAAACTACATTAATATAGTAAATTTAAAAAAAAATATTTAAATTCAATATTCTAACAATATAAAAATTATGAAATTTTTAATTTGTAATATCAAAAATTCGAATTTAATTAACAAAAAAAAAAAAAATACGCAATATTTTACTGGCATCTGTTATCATAAACAATATAACAATTTTTTTTTTTAATTTTCATAATTATAAAAAATATAAAAAAATATTTTTTATTAAAATTGTCAGTATTTAACCAAATTTCATCAGTTGATATTAATACTGAGCTCACAAGTCTTTTTAATTAAATTTTTATTTTAAAAATGAAATATTTCCTAAATATATTGATATTTTTTTCCATTTCTGTAGGCACAGAGTCTACGCAAATTAATTGTAAGTAAACATATTTGATAAATAAACACCATATGTTTTATAATATATAAATTATGTGTACGAATCTTTCAGGTCTTTTATAAAGAACCTTTTAATATTATTCTTTTTTAATAACCTCATTCTAGAAAATCATTTGAATTCAATTCATTAATGGAAATTTTCTTTTATTTTTGTAGTTAGTTCTTTTAACCGGATAAATCCACCATATTGGATAAAAACAAGTACTGGAATAAATCCCTCTCAAATATGGAGTCCAGTTTCAAATTCAGTACAACTTCAAACTTTGCCAGGGTCATTACCACAAACGATTCCAAATCAAATTGACACTCAAACATTGATATTTTCTGCATTTTAATATAATTAAATTTTAATTTCTAATTATTGTCACATAATTATTAGTGAATAAAATTAACGTATACTTATTAAATATTATTAAGGTATTCGGGTTATAAATAAATTTTTTTATTTATTAAAGATTTAGGAAACAAAACAGTCAAATAATATGATATGTATAATTATAGAGAGAGGCAGGAGCAACTTTTATTAATTTGTGAAGAGTATAAAATGTAATTAAAAAAATTATGAACAGGCACAAATGACAACCTTCTTCGGAACGTGAAAATTTGTTGAAATCCGATACGATTCAGGAGAACTGGTATATCTGACGACTTGATAAAGAAATTTTGGTTGGTAAAAAATGTTGATATTAAACATATTGAGAATAATAAATGTACAAAAATTATCTAATTTTTTTTAAATATTTTTAAAATAATATTAATTTTTAAAATGATTATAACAATCAGTACGATTAATGGGAAAAAATTAGATCAGCATACACTTTCACTATTGCAACCCAAAATTTTTAAGAAATATTCAAACAAACTGAAACGAATTATTCATAAAATAATTTCTTACATTTATTATTAATCTTCAAGTGTTTAAATATATTTTCAGTATCAGTAATTATTAGATAAAATGTAAATATTCAATAATAAATATTTTAATAATAAAAATTACAATATTCTGCAAATATTTTTATTTGTCAATTTTAGCCTGCTGCATACTTTGACATAATATTATTTATCCATGTTCTATGTTGAGGAACACTTGTATAAACGCCTGGAAGCCCTCTTCGCCCGCATCCGACACCCCATGAAACTATACCATATAATTTTCCGTTTGATGATAACGGTCCACCAGAATCCCCTACAAATTGATAATATATTTTAATTACATACGTACATATTTATACATATATACATCCCATGGAATAATAAAGATAAGCACGATATCTGATATAATTTTAATACTACTAAATTACAAGGCTTAAATGATATGAAAAAAATTAATGGATTTTTTTTACTATAAAATTAGTTACACGCTATAATCATTAAATTGTTATGGTTATTATTGTGTAACAAAGTAAATAATTATATTTATATTTTTTCAAAGGTATAATAAGGTTCTAAATGTTTACATATGTACATATTTAAATCAATCTGTAACCAAACATACATACATACACACAAAAAAAAAACTTAGTAATAATTACCAAAAACTGAGTATAAACTACTATTTTTCATGGTACTTTTGTGCTAACAAGTAAATTTGGTAAAAACGACAAATCTTTTACCAAATATTTTGGTAAAAGTCTTAAAATTTAAAATTGACACTTATACTAATAAAAATGGTAGGAATGACGAGCATTCATGGTAAAAGTGACAAAAACAAATGGTAATAATTACCAATATACTTTGGTAAAAATAAAAAATGGCATTGGTAAATTTTACAAGTACATATGGTAACAATAACAAATGAGAAGGGTAATTATTACCAATACGCTTTGGTAAAAATAAGAAATGGTACTAGTAAGTTTCACAAATATATATAGTAATAATAAAACTGGAAATTGTAATTATTACCAAACGTACAAGTAAAAGTGATATGGCAAGAATCGTCTTTTTATTTCAGTTTTCTTTTCATTTACCAATTCATTTAATATTAACTGAGATGATACTTATGGAATCTGAAATTACTTAAAAAAAACTTGTTAATAAATTGTTTTTCTATTCTAAATTTTTATTTAGACATTTAATTCACTGCAATTTTTTTTAATGTTAATTATATAAAGTTAATATCAAAAGGAAACATTTTCGTGTTTAAAAATTAACGTTTTAAATAAACTATACAAAAAAAAAGTTTAGAAAATTTTAACAAAAATCATAGCAGATATTACATAATGCTAAAATATTATTTTTCAGTAATACTACTTTGATTTATTTCATCAATTAGAATATTAATTGATGAATGATTAGTGTTGTTACATATTCCATAAAAAAAATTGGCGACGAAGCTCCAAAATAAATTGGCTTGAATTGGAAATTTTAAATTAAAAATGTAAAAAATTTTAAAACATGTATCTACTGCTTTTGCTATGGAATACATTTTGTATCTTATTCCATCGAAGTAAATTAATATTGCCTCTGGATTAGAGATACAACCTTGAAAAGCAGCAGAGGTTGAATAGAATCTTGAGATTGAATTTTTTCTTGAATTAAATCTTCAACGTTTTGAGCTGTCCTTCCTATAATTACGAAGGCATTTTGTGAGTCTCGAATGGTAAATTTTTTTTCCCCTTTATCCATAGTTGTCCACAGAGTCTGACAATATTATGCAGTAAATACATCGTTGTGAGAGTTATACCATCTAAAATAGAAATATTGTAAATATTTTGTTAATCAATTTAAAAAATTTGAATACTACGGTTTAAGGTGTAATTTATTGTATTAGAGTAAAGTTTAAATTTTATGTCATGTAATTAAATCTTACTTTCAGAAAAATTTTCGTAATTTTGCAGAACTTCGATTAGTTCCTTTGAATTTTCGTCTTTTATTCTCTCTGTGAATATTTCTCTCATTTTCAAATGAAAACTTGGAAAATTGTTTTGGGAAACAAGTTTAAAAAATCAATATCAAACTGCAATATAAGAAATTATACAATCACATAACGTATCTAATATTAAATAATAAATATTGTTATATATGATTCCTTACCAGTTTATATCCCAATGGATCTTTGTACTGTAACCATTCTTTCAAAATGTCATTAGTTGAGGTCATGGCGGATATTTGTGTCAACCTATAATTGCTAGTTTTTTTCCAGATTTCTTCAAGCTCTGTGTGAGTCAATGATGGACCTTTTAAAATTTTTAAATATTCATTTAAATGTACATTTATAATCACTATTTTTATTTAAGTAATGGAAAGTTTTTAAATGACGCAAAAAAATTACTAAATTATCGAAATTCTTCCTACATTTAAAACATTCTATAGTAAACATTTCAAATACTTTAGATTACGTACAACACATTAAAATTTTTAAACTAAATCTGAGCACAAATATTAACACGTTTTTTTTAAGTTAAATACAGTCCCTAAAATTATATTTAATTGATACCACCACCAAATATATTCAAACAATAACCTTACATTTATTTGTTGCCAAACTGTAATTTTCTTCTCAAATTTTATTTGTAGACTTATTGGTAAATAAATAAGGCAATTAATTTCACTTTGTTTTATTTTTTTTAATTTTATTATAACTAAAAATTTTTTAATTTTATTGTAGTTAAAACTTTTATAATTAAGTTATAAAACACTTCTTTCTCTTTGACGAACGAACAACGAAATGACGTGATACAACAAGCCGTTACTTTACCAAAAGTTATTAGGAATTTGTTTTGTAATACTTACCAAGCTTTTGTAAAATCTACTTAAAGACATTGTAAAACTTATAAAATTAGTGGAATTTACAAAAGCAAATATGGTAGAAATTATTTTGTAAGTAATTTTTACCAATTTCATTTGTAAATTTTACCAAAAGTTTTGTTTCTCTAATAAAAAAACATGGTAATATTTTACTAAATTACTTTGTGAAATTAACAAATTCGTTTGTATGTACGTTACCAATAATTTTTGTTGTTTATACTAAGAAATTTGTTTCATTTACCAAAAAAAAATTTATTTTTACCAATTTTTTTTGCATAATTTACTAAGCTAATCGTAAATTATAATTTTACCATGTTTTTTTTACTTTTTTACCAAATTTTTTTGTTAATATAACCAAAATTGTGGAAAAATTTGGTAAATTTGACAAAAAAATTGTAAATATTACCAAAAAATGATTGTACAGCATTTTTTACCAAATACTTAGTAAAAATTACAATTATTTTTTTTTGAGTGTAGATTAGATCAGATTAAACACCCTCTCAGCAAATCCTAATCTCAGCAAATCCTTGATAGAAAAAAAGAAACCGAAATCAAAAGTAAACATGCATGTACACGTACACGCATACGTACGTTCATCAATTTTTTTTTTATAATTTACATATATATGTATATCTCGATATGAGTGCATTCATACCTACATAAATACATAAGTGCATAAAATTAACATTCTATGTATAAGCTTTTTTCGCATGCATAACTTTAACAAGTTCGTATTTCACGAATGATTGATTTTTCGGTTCAACATATTAGCAAAAGAATACAATAAATTATAAGAAAATGTTCCGATCATTACAATGTGATCATGTAATATGACAGTTGTCAATATTGTTGACAAAAAAACATGAAAGTTTTCAGTGCTGCCCGGTATAGAAAATGTTTGTTATCAATCATAAAAAAAAACGTGATACTTAATCACGCAGCTTTAGGTGCCAAATTACTTCCGCAGTGTTTTAAAATACAATGCGTATTGAGAACTATTAGTTTAATGTATTTAAATGATTTGTTTAACTAAAACAAGATAATTGAGTAAATATGCAGTGATTACGAGTGAATTAAATTAAAATAATAGTTTAATTATTCTGATATTGAGTCACCTAAATATTATTCTAACACATTACAATTCAGTTCATATGTATTTGAACAATATTTATGTAATTTGGATGTAATTTAATAAATTTTACCTTGACAACTATCTTTTCCTCCATTAACATCGCCAGCACAAAACATGTTCGCTGTAAAAGCATACCCAGTCAAATATCTAGTACAATCAGTACTATTGTATATATTAACTGTTACACTTCTAAGTATTTTTGAGAGTTTACCAATATTTTCATCTGTTTTTAAATTAATGAAATAATTTTATAAATATAACATACATATGTAATAGAAATAAAAATAAATAACTACTTGTTAGACCCCATCCAGCTATTAAACCAGTTGATGGAAGTGCTTCTCCTCCATTAGCAAGTGGTATTAATGAAATGGAATTTCTTGATAGAAATCTACTATAATTTCCACCTAATTTCAATAATGCTACATCATGATCAAAACTCGTGCTATTATAACTTTTATGATATATCATTCGATGTACTTTTGATATAACACCACCTTTTGTTGCATCCGATGAACCAGCTCTTACTAACATTTGTGTAGTTCTTCTTCGATAAATGCAATGAGCCGCAGTCAAAACAAAAACTATATAAAATTTTAATTTATTGTTATTTTAGACAAAAACTGAACTGATTAAAAAAAAATCAAACGAAAAAAAAAAGAACAAAAGCTAATCACCCTCTAGCAAGTTCATTAACAATAAATATTTTTATATATCCGATATTAGGTTTATTATATTTTAATTACTAGAAATTTCGAGCAAATACATATATGTATACAAATGTATGCAAAAATTTTACGCACTTCACTCGCTAAACGATTTATGAACTTCTTACTAAATTTATTTAAAATATATGTTTGTATGAATTAAACTTACTCGGAGAAACTAAAGATCCACCACAATCGTGAACACCATTATATAAAATTGAAACCAAATAAGGTACACTAGTAATATCAGTTGTTGTACCCCCAATTATTTTGGCTGATGGGGTTTCTTGCTGTGGTAAAGGCATTATAAATTTATTTTTTAATACATGAATTAAGAATAATATAATCAAACCGTAACGATTTAAAAACATCATCTATTGCTTTCAAATTTTTTTTTCTATAAAAATTCATTTTTTAACATTATATCACCAAATAAAAAACAGTGTTATTATAAATTTTATTAGTTAATGAGCTTTTAATTTCGTCTAAACCTTGTAAAATTTGCCTGTTTTTTGTTGAAAATAAAAAATTTAAATCGTTTGATTTCGTGGCTTAAATAAAATTCATCGATTTGTATAATTAAAATATTAAATAATTTAAATTACAAACACTGCACAAATTTTATTGTAACACAACACAATTTTTAAATTAAAATTATAAAAGTGATTTTAATTATGGTTTTTTTAAATTATAACTTAATAAAACTAATTTCACAATACTTTAAATAAAATTCGCGGTATATGCATGCAGATGATACTAGATAGCTTTCCATGAAAAATTAGAAAAATACTAATTTTGATTTTGAAATGAACTAAATAATAATTTTAACCTTTTTTTTTTGTTATGTTTGTTAGATAATATCAATTGATTATTTAGAGTTTTTATAAAAAAAAAAAAAAACAAATCAACGTTTTAAACTGAGCAAATTACGGTATAATAAATTTGTAGTTTAATACAATTTAGTTTTTTTTTAATATACTCGTAGATTATAAGTTAGCATTTTCAGCACTTTTAGTAAAATTAAACAATGGGCGCCTACCTTAATGCCGATTTAAAGTTAACTTGACTTATTTAACAATTCAATTTTAACTGCAGAATCGGTCAAATTAATGTTTTAGATATACATTTAGATGTTTAATAAATCCTTCACTTAACAATGTCAATACTACTGTGGGTTATTACAAGATTTAATAATAAAATAAGTAATTACGTATTGGCTGAAATTAAATACTAAATATCTTCTGTAGTAAAAAATACAATATAAAAATACAAATACTTTTTCTAAAAAACCTCAATAAATAATCTATTAAGTATAACTGATATCGAAATTGTAATCATACCGTATTCTAATTATGAACATTTAGAAGCTGATCTCTGCATTAATACAGTATTATTGAATTTGAAATTTTTTTACAAATAGACTGACTATATACAATAATTTTAAGATCATCATTTCATTTTAAAATAAGTACTAAAAAAGGGATAAATGATTTAAGACATAATAATGATATACTGATATTAATTGCTTTTCTGACATTCACGACCTTTAATGGCAGTTTAACCAAAAGCAAATTTGGACTTAATTCTAAATAAGTAGATTAACTTGAGTTGTTTATATTCAGCGATTAAAATTGTATTTTTCTTGTAATGATTATAAATATATTTTTATATCTGAGCCCGAATTTATTCCAAAATACCCGTCATTTTCAAATGACGGACTTTTGGGACTTTGAGTCCCATAATAATAACAGAATACAAAGAAAACTTATAATTTATAAAATGTCTATAAATTTTTTTAAAGTCACAAGGCAAAAATTAAAAAATTACTGAGTACATAAATTTTAATAAAGAATGAACTTTATGTGAAAAAACAGATACTCACCTTCAAACACAGTTTCTTATTTTTTACTAAGATCAAACAATTTGCACATGTCCGATTTCAGTTTTCATTTGAGACCGTTCAGAATTATGTGATGTGATTCTGCGGGTTCCAGAAAAACATTTAGATTTCACAGAGCTCATATTTAAAATATCAGATTTGAAAAATCTTTGACAGAATAAGTTTTTCCACGTCCATTTTTAAAATTGGATGCCTCAGATTACAATATTTTTCATATAAACGTAACGTGTTGGGACAACTCTGAAACTGATCAGGATCAGAGCTTTAAAAAGTGGAGACTTTAAGTTAAAAAACAAAAACGCTCATAATCACGAATCATGTGATTGACCTGATCGCTAAATTGAAGCCGTTCTGGGAAAGAACCATATTTTTAATGTTATCATTCGTTCACAGCAGCGTTACCGAATATTAGTCTATCGTCTTTTTTTTTAAATATCGTCCAAAATATTTAAAATTTTTATTTCTAAATTAAATAAACTTTTAGTTTTCTTGTCACTTTACAATGCACTTTTGAAACTCACTATTTATAATTTTTTTTAAAGCAAATAAAAAAGAACCATAAAAAAACCAGTTAATTTTAAAAAGAAATAAAAAACTATCAGTTTTTAAAATCATTCACAATGATATATTGCCAGTTCGGAACAATCGCGACATCTACGTTTATGTTTTAAAGTAACATAATATTTGAAATTTTCCTTTTTATTTACTTTTTTTTGAACGAACTGCTGTCAATTATAAATTTATTTTGTAGTTCTGAAACATGAAAAAATTAAAAAAAAATTTATAATTATTAATCTAAATAAGCTATATTTAAAATACACAAAGAAAATTTTAAAATAGATATTTTTATTTTTAGCTTCATATGTCATAACAAACTACTCAATTTTGGTTTGATCAAATTTATTTTGATTTGTAAACATTAATTCGATTAGTTGTACGATTTGGTTGTCCAATTTTGCTTGATTTGTAAACAATACCTAATGTAAATAAAACAACAGCCAAAAACTTTTAAAAATTTTTTTAAAAAAATTTGCAATTGTAATATGAAAAGAATTAGAATTCTCTGTTAAATATTCAATTTAGTTATTTCAAAAACTGTAATTAAATAAAAAAAAAATAAAATTGGAAAATAAAAATTTAGAGAAAAGCATTTTTAGAGAAATGTCAAAGTTGAAATGATTTATGAGTTGGCAGAACTTATTTTTTTAAGTTATAAAAACAAATGAAATTTTTGTTCCGATTCCAATTCAAGTAATTTCGTTTAATTCTATTAGCATTTTATTTTCGTTAAAAAAATGAACGATGGTTTGATATTCTGTCAATTGAGTTCTTTTTTATTTCCGGCACGACATAATTCGTACGTGATAAAATAATGGGTAAGTAAATTTTTACAAAATTTTGTTTAAAACAGTTATTTGAAAGAAAAATAATTCATTAAAGAATTAAATTAAGAAAAGTGTTATCGAATAACAAAAAGAGTCATAAATTAAAGTCAATTTTTTTTCTATACATATATTAATAAGCACTACAATATCAATTCAAGTAATGAAGTTATTCTAAAAGCAGATACTCAACACTATTTACGTTTCTTAAAAATCCAAATTCATCCATGTAAATATTTCAATTAAATATTTGAGATTTGAATAAAATAAGTAATTACAAGAACTGCTTACTAAAATTAACATAATACGAAATGTTTATATATTAACTCTTTGTTATTTCATATTTTTATTTGTATACTTTATTTTACATAATTTTAGGAAAACCAAGAGGGCTTCGCACAGCGAGAAAGCATGTTAACCATCGTCGTGATCAAAGATGGGCAGACAAAGACTACAAAAAGGCACATTTAGGAACAAGATGGAAAGCTAACCCTTTTGGTGGTGCTTCTCATGCTAAGGGAATTGTTCTTGAAAAAGTGTAAGCGCATTTAAATTCAACAAGAATAAAACTTGTCCTCAATATCTTGAACAAAATTAGAAATGCCATTGAAAGTGAAAGAAAATGAAGTTTACAACTCTTCTATAGGAAAATGAGTCTTCTGTCTAGCAGTATATTACTGTGTTATTGGTATTGTAAAAATCCAATCACAGGAGTATACTGTGAGATAAAAGACGCAATTCATCCACATGAAAACATATTATTTTTAATTTTATTAAATATTTATTTTGTATTTAACTTTTTATTTAGTTACTAAACTTATTTATTCCTCCTTAGAGGCGTTGAAGCTAAACAACCGAACTCTGCTATCAGAAAGTGTGTTAGAGTGCAATTAATTAAAAATGGTAAAAAAATCACAGCTTTTGTACCTCGTGATGGTAGCTTGAATTATATTGAGGAAAACGATGAGGTATTAGTTGCAGGATTTGGCCGTAAAGGTCATGCCGTAGGTGATATTCCTGGAGTTAGATTTAAGGTGAGTTAATTAAAAATGTTTATTCTTATATTGACAAAATGTTCATTTTTATAAAATATAACACTTATTAACAAATAATAATGATGAAATATATAGAGCCAATCCAATGATTTGACTTGATTAAAAATATCTAATAGCTGAATTTATAAAATCTAACACTTTTTCCTTTCCTCCAAAAGTTTCTATATAGTAGCAAACAGTAATTATTATATTCAAACACCATTAGTAATGGTTTCATTTTCTAATTTTAGGTGGTGAAAGTCGCAAATGTATCGCTTCTGGCTCTTTATAAGGAAAAGAAGGAAAGACCAAGATCTTAGATACTTCCACAAATTTTGAAAAAAAAAACTTATTATAAATTCATCTAAGAATAATATAAAATAAACAATGCCATTTTAATGGTAGAGAGAAAGACTAATTTTATTTTACAAATGGTGTGTCCATAAAATAATATTCAGAAATATATTAAAAAACTATATGTACAGGTTAAATGTATTTCAATCCAAATACTTAAGGGTATTTTTGATAAATCAGTTTTAAATTACCAAGAAGTGTATTACCGCTTGATAAAAGTTTTTCCACAGGTTAGAAAAGCATTTTGCAACATGCAGAAATTTTTTCATATTTGGAAAATAGAGCTGTAAGATGAAATAATCAAGAAATAAGAAAAACTTTGCCATTTAAATTAAATTTTCTATCTAACATTAAAACTGCGTAGGTAAATGCTTAAATAATTTTCTTACTAACGCGTATCAAATTATAGTTATTGTAGAATAATTTTTCCCTTCGAAGTAGCACTAATACGCTTTGCGTTGAAAAAAATCACGTGTGTGTATGGCAAGATTTTTATAAAATATTTCATGTACTTCAAAACATTTAGTGTGGCTCTTTTGGAAGCAATTTATTAAACGGAACTGTGCCTAATATGTGAAACAAAAATATAAACGGCAGGCGAAGTATACATAAATTAATATGTACGTACACCAGCATCTCGATTTTCGATGATAACTGGTTTTAAAAAAAATTGCTAAAGCATTAAAGAATCGTTTCGAAATAGTTATTTTCTCCAACTCAATAATATTAAAAAAACGTATGTGTACATATGTATATACATAAAGTTATACATAATTCAATATATGTATATGTATGTATGTATTTTTAAAAATGAAAACAAATGTATAAAGTTTCTTCCGCAGAATTGTTAGCAAAAATTTAAATGAGATGGGGATTTTTTTATGTCTGTATTTTTTTTTAAATATTAAAGACGTGTTGTGTCAACAGTGGAAATAACTCATTTTGATCCGCATTCATTATTATAGCGCTTAAATTTTTGTAAATTTACATAATTTTCCAAGAAGAAAAAACCAGGAATGTATTAATGTACCTACATGTGAACAAATATTTTAATAATTTGTGTAAGTTTTCAATATAAACTTGATTAAACCCTTCAGTTTAATACTATTAGCACTAGTTAGCATTGGATATCTGCGTAGAGAGAGGGAGCATTACTTATTTTCCTTTTATGTTTTAAGGCATTTGCAAAAAAACTTAACAAATACTAGTTAGGATGGATACGTTAATGTCTTAATATCGAAATATCTATATACATATATCGATTACAGTATTAAAGATTATAAATTCTGGGTTTATCTTGGGTGTGGGAACTTTCTACAAATATAGAGCGGTATAAATATTGAAAATAACAATAAATCAGAAAATATTTTAACGATACATTGAGTATCATAATATGTCCATTTTTTTATGCAAAATGTCCTAACCCTAAAGCGGCCGCCTTTCTTCATTGACATATACAAGAATAATTTATTATGCTAATAAGAGATTTACTCTTCGTTTTTAAAATTTTGTTAAGAGATTTTTACAATATTACGAATTTTAATTTTTGTTAAATTGTTTCAAAACAATAGAAAAAACTTTTAAAATTACGGATGTAAGAAGAAGAAATTCAGTTTCACAAGACCATTGTGATTGACATTCATAATGTCTTTCTCGATAGAAGTAACATCAAACATTCATGGTCGAATTTCCGGAATTGATTATAAAAAACTAAAATCTATAATAATTTAACTAAGATGCCCCAAATAAAGGAGGATAAAGGAGATTTACAGGATATTTCAAAAATCACGTTTAAAAAATCAGACTATTTATCGTTATATCTTTTAAATGGCATCAAAATTTCCTCGGATAGAATAAGCAAAACAAAAAAGCGTGCACATTTTCTTAATTGATTTTGATTATTTATTTTTTACTTAAAAATTATAAAAAATAAATTTTAATAAAATTAATTTGAAGATAAACTATCAATAACATATTTAAAATGTAAAACATTTACACAGTTACATTATTATTATTTCATTATTTTCTTCCTAATTTCAGATGAACATACATCTATATATTAATAAAAAAAAAAAAAATTTTTATAATTTTTTTAATTAGTGATGAAAATTTAATTAAGAACGAGGTGTTTTAATTTAAATACATTTACATTTAAAAATTTATTAAAATTTGCTATTAAATAATCAAAAGTTTTCAGATATTTTATAATAAAATTTTTTAACGTTACAGGTATATATAAATAAATTGATTTCTTATTTGGAGTATATAATCATTTTCTAATCAAATAAATAAGAAACATTTTATAATTATATAGTATTTTATTGTGTCGTAGTAATGTTAATAGTACTAAAGCGGTGATTCCTATGTTCGCATCGAATAAAATTATTTAATTTCTTTAAAATTTAAAGTACGAATTATGTGTTAACGGTTGTGTATATTTTAAGGAAATTGTAATTTAATATTTTTGAAAATGCCATAAAAAAATTAAAATAAAAATAATTTTCTCGATTTTAGTTGAAAGCTCATCATTCGATTGGCCTACGTTTAAACAAGAGCTAAAATAGCTTATGTTTCTACTATCAAATGCATTTTGATGGCTGTAATCAAATAATTTCATTTTAATTGTAAAAAAAAAATAATATTTTGAGTTAGTTTTTTTATATGAATTGACAATATTTGTGAAAACTTCATAACATCAGTAATTTTGTTATATTTCCAGTGATAAACAAATCCATTTAGCGATAATAAAAAAGAACTGCCACTTTTCTGGAAACTTGGCTATTCTTCATTTATTTAACTTATTGCCGAATATTTACTCATATTATTTAATTAACAATTAAAATATAAATTCTAATTATATTAAATAAATGTACGGATTACTTAAAAAAAACATTTACAATTTTAAAGAAAACATGGATGTCAGTTTATTTTTTAAGGTTTTGTAGATTAAAAACTTCCAGCAAAAATATTTGTTGATTATAAAATAAATATTAATTTCAATAATATATTTTTAAACAAACTTTTAAACTTTATTCTTAAAAAAAAAAATTAATAATTTACACAACTAAGTTTGAAAGTATATAGTGCTTAAAAATATTATTTACAAAATCATTAACAAATTTATTTTTAAGTAGATAATATTTTATTGTATTTCGGTTTTCCAACTTAATATCAACTCATCTGTTAACCATATTTAATAATTTATATTGTATACTTATACATTTTGTATTAAATTATTAAAATTTATTATTGAAAATTAATTATCTAATTTTATAAGGGATTAAAATTTAACTAAGTTTACGCAATATGTTTTATTAATTTCTAAATTTAGTTATGTAGTTATTATGTTAAACAAATTCTTTTAACCAATAATATAGATTGGGACTGTAAATTTTTTTGTGGAGAATGTGTTACAGAAGAGTAGTTTTATTTATTTATTTATTTGTTTTTTTTTGTAAAATTTAAGAAACATTCATTGTTTAAGGAAATTAATTAACTTTTATTATGCATAGGTATATTAAATATTTAATCTTGGCAAATATTCTACAATTTAATCAAATAACTTATGGATATATTTGAAGAATAAGTGAAAGAATTTCTATGCAGTTGAGATAATTCTTCATTTTAATTTTAGAAGGGTAATTGTATTTAAATATAAAAAAAGAATTTAGAAACACATTTTAAATTAAGGGTTCTGTAATAATTAATAATTAATCATGGTTCAACTAAAGTTTTACTATTCAACATTGGAAAATCTGAAAATTAATTTTCATAAATTAGAACTACTTAATTTATTTAAATTTAAGTAATTTTTTAATGTGACACTCTAACATTTAATTTTGTATGTTACAATTTATAAGTGCATCTTACTAAAATTAAACAAGTACAGAAATTTTCTGTAATTTTACTGAACATTTTGTTTAAAATTTAAATAATCTGTTTTTATTTTATTTTGAATAAACTTTAGGAAAAAAATTTTATTTAGAATGTTTCTCAAATTGTACATAAAATAAATTTAAATATTTTATCTAAAGATAATTTAAATTAGTTTATACATTTTTAATTAGTACCAGTATAATAATAAAAATTTTGTGTATTTCTTAATATATTTAAAGTTTATTTTATTTTGGCATTGTTATAATTATTTCCATTTTCTTATTTTGTAATTTTTTATTCTATTTTAAGTTTATCTCATTTAAAAAAAAAAATGTAAAACATTTATTTTAAGGCACAAAATCTAATACATACAAGTATGTACATTGTGTAAAGTGCGGTACATACAATTGTTATTGAAATTGAAAAATTAATAATAAAAAATAATAATTCTAATGAAAATTAATTCTTTTAGTAAATATGTATTTATTAATTGTAATAAATGAAACATTTTATATATTTTAATATTATTGTGATTTGAATTTCGAATTTAAATTTTATTTACAAAAATCAAAAAATGCTTTGCAAAAAAAATAAAATCAAAATTTAATTTTTATTTATACTGGACTTTTAAAAAATAAATTTTTTAATTAAGCAGATTTTATTCAATATTCCTTTAAATAGAAATTATTTGTAAATGTTTTCACATTGAACTGTATGAGTTGATATTTTCTTTTTAAATTTTTATTTCATAATGCAAGACAAGTTAAACTTGTTCACTTAAAAATTTTCTATTTCTATAATATTGAAAATCAAATAATAAAATGTGATTAACAATTATAAAGTTTATGTTTTTAATTTTTGGAATGTATGTATTATAGTTTATGCATAATTAATATCTGGCATAAATTTTAGTTTTATATTCTTATTTTATTTTGTAAAATTTTGTATTTAAAATTTGAAAAGCTTTTTCTTTAAAGTGTTAATGAACATTTTTGTTTTTTTTCTTTTATAAAAGTGTTTATACATTTATACTTTTGAATTGTGTATAAAAAAAAAATTGTAATAATTTTCAATTTTCAATCGCGTTTACATAACTTCCCATTGCATTACACTAGTGTCGTTGCCACCAGTTGAAATCAATCTGGTATCATCATGCAAAAATCCAACCGAAGTCACATGACTGCTATGACCATTGTAATTGTGTGCTAGGGACTAAAAAAAAAAATTTTAATAGAAAAAAAAATTATTAAAACAAAAATCGACTTTATAATTAAGTATGTAATTGATACCTTTGGTTGCATCGCTGGATATACGAATAATCTTACACGCCCAAAATCATCACCTGAGGCAATTAATGATTTATCATGGCTACTCGCTGCTGAATTAACATCTGTACCATCTGCATGTTCTGGCCATATTCCAATCGAATTGAAAGTTAAAGTACATGTATTTGTTGACCATGATACATCACGTATTGCAGTATTAGATGTAATTTGACGGCATGTTCCAGAATTCCCTATAATTTTTTAAAACAGATTTAGTTTTTATTTATGCAATTTCTTATTTAGTACATTTTATTTAAAAAAAATACTTACAATATAGTGTCTCATAGTCTCCAGAATTACTCCTTAACATTTGGTTATCTTCAGACCAATCAACATGTTTAATAAAACTTGAATGACCCTGAAAGAAAATAATGACAAAATTAATTATTATTTGTTTTTTAATCATTTTCTTAAAATAACTTTTAACTGAACATAACTAGAACGTTGCATATTTATATTATAAGGCTATCAATTAAGTCAGATTGACTGTTAAATTAACAATCATTTTCATAGTAGTAATGAAAGCATGGTATTAAAATATTAGTAATAAAATATTACTTACACTGCAACGTCCAACTTTTGAAAATCTTGAACCATCAATTTGATATACATAGAGGAAATTATCTCTTGATGCTATAACCAAAAATTGTCCGTCTGGTGAAAACTGAATAGCTTGAATTGGTTCTTGACCATCAATGAATTGTGCAAGCATTTCTCTTGTTTGAGCATCAAATATCATCCAACGACCAGTTATACCACCAACAGCTATTAATTCGCCATCTGGTGAAAATGCACATGATTGAATTTGTTCTCCAATATCTTTACTCCATACAACTGAATGTGATAAAGCGTCCCATAACTGTAATAACTGATCAAATCCCCCAGTTACAAATTGTGCCATATTTGGATGTACAGCTAAACCCCATATCTCTTCTGTATGACCCATAACAACTGGATTAAATCCTAAATCTAATGATCCAATTAATATACAATTTCTTGTAGTACCAACAAGAATTTGCGATCCTTTTCCTTCATTTATGACACGTATACCACCAAAATGTGGTTCAATGAATCCTTCTGCATCAGCACGATTCATATCTTCATCAAAAATTATAATACGACTATCTTTACCACCACCAGAAATCAGACCACCATCTTTTAAAGCGCACAATGAAAATATCGGTCCTTCATGAACTTTTCTATATTTTCCAAAAACAAAAAATAAATATTTAATATTTTCTCTTTCTATAAATGAATTTTATAAAAATATTATGTTCCATTAAATTTCTAAAATTATGTAATTTAGTTTATAAAGTTTTTTGTTTTAAATATCTTACTTAAAGAAACGAGATATTGTATTTGTTCCACGACCCCAAACAACGATATTTCCACTCGAATCACCTGTTATAACATCACCACTTTGATTAAATGCAATACAAGTGACATATTTTGGTTTTTCTCTACTTTCAAATATACCCATTTTCTTATATAATGCGCCGCTATGATCAAGTGTCCAAAATGCAACATGACTTTTACCAACAGTAATAATTTGATTTCGTTCTAGAGGATGATATTCAACAGCTACAACAGTGTCGACTGAACACTAAAACGAAATTAATTAAGAAAATTACTTATTATGTAATAATGAGGTGTATATATAAAATTACATGTATATCTATTTGTTACGTGGGAGGTATTGTAAATTTTTATTATCTAATGAATTTTTTTACAACTTATTACAATGTACTTTCAGTTACTATAATTAAGAAAACTAAGTTTTGCTAGTTTTGTTACAGAAATTAAATAATGAAAATGAATAAGGTGATAGTTTTAGGGGCGCGACCCCTACTAGTACGCCCACAATGTAAAAAAAATAAATTATTATTTGAAAACTCATTTAGAAGTTTTGACTAAATTACATAAGTATAAATTGGATTAAATTGAAATAATTGTATTATATCATTTAAATGTTGTAATTTTTAAAAATACTTGCAATTTACGCTTATTACAGTTTTAAAAGATTTGAGAAAAAATTTCTTTCATATTTTATTAACATTTTTATCTTACCCTGGTCTCTGTTATTTTAACACCTTTTTCACCTTTTTGCCAATCCCATACTGAAATAATTTTCTCAGGTGAATCATCGATAACAGCTAAATTAGCTCCACCATCAGCTCTACTAAATGATAAGCAATTAACAGAACCAGTAAAATCACCAGCTCCAATAACTGCTATTGTTGCTAAGGAAACTGAATTCCAAACTCTAACATGGGGCTAAAAATTCATAAAACAATTTATTAAAATAATTGAATAAAATTATTTTATTAAAATAAATTTTTACCGTTGCATCCCTTTTATCATGGCCAGCACATTGACCTGTAGCGACTAGAAGTTTATTTGGATGAACTGCCAAACTAAATTAATAAAAAAAAAATCATTTATTCATGCATTTTACATACTACTCAAGTAAAAAAAAATATTTGGCAAGCAAATAAATTTTGGGGAGGAAATTTTGTTCCTTCTTCAAATTTAAATAAAAGGACAAAAGAAGTTAATATTAAAAAAGTAAAACATTTCTAAAAATTTCTGCTTAATTTTACTTTACTTTATACTATAATAGAATTTTTATATTGGTGTAATCACCTTTTAACATCATCTGTATGCCCTAGATAATGTCTTTGACATTGTTCATCTGCATTATAAAGAACAACTGCAGCAGCAACAAAATATACCATTTCACCAGTTGGTAACTGATACAAATTTGAGCGACAATCTTTTCCACGATAACCGTAAACCCAATCCAATTTTAGTTTTCTACTTGGTGCTGGTTGAACTTTTGTAATATCATAAGAATCCTTAACATCGGACGGCGCAAAAAATATTAGTGGACGTCCACGAAGGAACATTTTAACCGAACCTTCTTCATCATTATAGGTGGCAGTATGAGTGCTATAAAGACAAAAAAAAAAAAAACAAAATGCAAATTAATATTTTAATAATTAATAAAATAAAAATAAAAGAAATAAAATTTCTTAAAAAATTAATAATACTTTGACGACATAATGTTTCTCTTTTATGACTCTGGAAAAAAACTGAGTTCTCTTAATTCGTATTATATGAATTGAAATAAAAATTTCAATATTACTAACACCAAAAGTCTAAATCAAACTGTTGGAAAAAAATAATCAACTTCTTCTTTTTACATACAAAATGACAAGACATGTAATCAATGTAATTACAATCATTAATAATTCATTTAACGAAATGAAAATTCTGAATTTACATGAAATGCATTTAAATGGCTACTATGTATTATCCTTTCTTACTATTTTTTATAAAATCTATTTTTTATGGTTAGATATCATTATAGTAATTGTTGTAAATTTTAATATTCCTTTGGATATAGACGTGGCCAAATAATAAAATAATTTAATAATATTGTCAAAAATTTATAATGTTATACGTTCTATAACGTATTTGCTTCTCTTTTGGCCGGGTGATATTTAAAACTTTAGCTAATTTCATTCTATAAGTTAATAGAGCTTTTATAAATGCAATATTTCGGGATATATAGTTAAGACTTTGCTATGTTTAAGTAAACATGTTCATAATCAAATGTTGCTCATCTAGTTTGCTCATGAACAGCGCAATCAAATCACATGAACTGTTTTGCTTTCATAAAATAATTAAAAATAATTTGCATATTTAGTAGACTATGCCTTTACAGTATCGCGTTTTCTAATTATTATTTTGTAGTATTATTTATGGTTTAAAATGTAATTTTGAATTACTTAAAAAAGCAATAAATTTTCGTACTTCCAAGCTGATGATAAATTTATTAAACTATAATTTGACATTAGCTTTTGAAGTTAGTTGCTTTTTCCTTTGAAAAATTCGCTTTATACTTATTGCATAGTTTTAATAAAAAGTATCTTGTATTTTGTCTTAGAATACTAAAGCAGCACTTGGAACAAAATACTTTCGGATACCGGATGATTTTCTATACGAATACGATTTGATTTTCAAAAGCTTTTTGACATTTAACAAAAAAGTTCAACATTAAGATTTATTTGAATGGTTCTATTACTAAACTTGGTAACGCTTGAATTGCAAATTATTTGTAAAGAAATTATACAACAACCACGAAATTTTACCGGAATATTGACCAATTATTACACTCTTTTGTATAAAACTTAAATGCTAAGCGTATTAGTTTCCGAGATATGAGACGAATTTTAATTACATCGTTAAATAATAATACTGCATAAGTTTTACAGTTCCAGAAATATTTAAATACGAGTTCGCACTGCTTAAATTGAACTCGTACGTTTACAATAAAATTTCTTGACAAACATTAAAATATATTTGCCGTAAAAGTGTAAATAACTGCGCTCACTTGGAATAACCAGCAATTTGGTCACTTCTTCTTATTCTAATAATTAAATATTTATTCTTTGTTCATCAAAGATTCCTTTTACGTGGACATGTTTGTGTATACATATGCATACATATAGAATTTGTTTATGAAAAATATGTAAGAATTATAATAATTGACATGGTCAAGAAAATTTCAATATGTTGTTAGTTTTATTCTATTATAAATTAAATTTTATCAATTTTTTAATTATAAAAGGTAAATACACAATACATGTACATTGTATATATTGCGTATGTTACATTGTAAAAAAAATATACATATGAAAGTTTTGAAAATGTTTTTAATGTCCTTGTCCTGCGTATATTTAGTTTAAATTAATTCTATGTATGTAAATATTTTTATATGTACATATAGAAAAAGGACAATTTATTGATTTAAATTTTTGTTTAATTCTATTAGTATTGTAAAATAAATAAAACATAAAATAAATCTTTATGATATGATCAGCAAATTATTATGAAATTTTTAATATTGAATTATGGAATTTCAGAATCGATAGTCTATGAAAATTATAATATGTTATACAAATATTTGAACATGTATGAGTATAAACAAATGCCTACTTCTAAAGAAACGTGCACTTCATTTAAAACTTTTTCTGAAATTCTTGAATACTCGTATACAATTTATACATAATATACAAATTTTTACAATCGACACTATTGATAAAATAAGAGAAATATTTTGGTAGAAGAAAAAGGAGACCCAAACTAATTGGACCTGCATTAGACGCCTATACTAATTGCTAAATTTCCTTGCACTATGAAATTTTTTTAAGACTGTTTTTGAGTATAATATGTACATACATAATGTGCTAGAAAAGCTCAAATAAGTAATTAATCAAAATTAATTAAGTAAAAATGCTACTTTTCAGCTCTTACAAACAACCAGTTCATATGGGCAGGTCCATATGCTGGTATTAATTTTTTATTTACATACTCCTGTTCATTCCTCTCCACTATATGGGGTAATTGTTTATTTCATTGCAAACAAAAAAGTAATATAAAACTGATAACAAATAAAATTACAGGTTCTATTTTTTAATTAGAATTATCAATTTATTAAACTAGACACATGCATTCACAATAACCATTATGACATAAAGAACAATTAACTTTTTACATATTTATTGGTGTAGGATATCAATTACTTATTTAAGTACATTCAGTATTATAATAAAAAAATATTGTTTTTCAAAAATTCATACGCAATGTAAAACTTGCTATTATATTATTACAAGTATGAGTAAGTATTAGCAATGCCTTGTAAAAGAAAGTCTGTCAAATTTGTGAAGTACAATACTAACAGCTATCATTAGATTAATTGAATAAAATTATTCGAACCCCATGTTACGACAAAAGTAATTACTTTAAAAATTAATTTAGTAATTTTTTTTCCATCAGACGTGCGTTTTTCAAAATTTCCAATGCTTTTAAAATTGCCATACATCATAGATTTACCGTGCAAGCATAAAGCACCTTTCTTTCTCAACTTGAATGTAGCAACAAATTTTTTATTAATAACAAGTTTTTAGTATTTCATAAGGTTTTCAGTAAATGTTAGGCAGATAAATATTTTGTAACAGTTTTAAATTAGATTTTAAGTTTCTGCCGCTATATGTCATTAAAATGTCAATGTATGTCTCTATTTCTAGAAATAGAAGCTAATATCCTATGTAATTGTTTAATTTTCAATTTCTAAAAATCACCCCTAAGGCTCGTCATACGAGAGTGTTGATAATTTTTTGTAAGTATTTTTGTTAGTTTTTTTGATAAATGAAAGATATCGATAACAAAAGAATCAATACTTTTATTAGTAAATTAATTTTTATTTAAGAAAAATGAAATTTTGTCACACAAATAATAAAATATTTTTAGAGTAATGGTCATAAAACCAAAAATATCAAGTTTTCGCTATAAAATTTTCAATTTCTGAGCGTGCATTATTGTAATACTTATATTAATATTTTTAACGAAATTACTACATATAATGTTATATATAATTTCACAAAATTAGGCTATATTTTGATGCTAATATTAGTCAGTGATTCGAAAGTAAATCTGAAATTTGAAAACAATAACACAATCACTTTTTGCCAGAACAATAAGAAATGTTATGAAATTATAAAAATGCGACAGAAATTAAGAAATTTGATTTAAAATTAAATTGATTTGAAAAACAACAATATTTGACATATAGTTATGTGCACAGTTGGAAAAACAATTTAACGATAACTTAAATGAGATGACGTACTTTAGAATATTTAGATAGTTCTCGTTTAGTAGATAGTTTTCGTTCAAGTACTACTACTAAATTATATTTCGTATCATATAGTATTGTATCTCTTGAATCTTGATGTTTTATATATATAAATATAAGTAAATCTGTCTATGCATATTACCATATATGTAATTTAATATAATAATCTACATTTCTTGTACATACTAAAATATAAGTAATTTAAATTAAGTAATTTAAAACAATAGTAGTAATAAGCCTATTAACTCTTTTAATATGGTTCTATCTTATAGTAATAAGTATAATTCCTTGTACCAAAATCCGATCTTCCAATTGCAGAAAAACTATAACAACTCAAAAAATATAATTTTCTTCTATAACAATTTTTTCACAATTGTTTTTTCTATACTTAAACAAAAACAACACAAAAAAATTAGCCGAGAATTAATTTAAAGTTGATTAGTTATGAGGATTTAGTTTTGTTTACCTTACTGAGGTTTTTTTCTTAAAAATTATTTTATGTTTCTTCATTTCTGGTACATGTGTACATGATATATGCACTTATAATTAATAAATTTTTTAATATTAGCCTTTCTGAATCGCGACTTGTATTTTTTTTGAGTTTCAAATTAAAAAACAAAATTTTTTAAATGAGTGTTGAGTTTTTAACAAAACGATATGTGTAAATAAACTAAAATTTTTTTTTCGTCGTGAATCACAAATTCTCACCCCATATATTTTATTTGAGAGACAACCGCAACCACAAAATAAAGTTTGGTTTTTATTTGCGTAAAAACTTGTTCAAAAGTTTGTACTAATAGAAATTTAGCAAATTGAAAACAAAGTAATAGTCAGTAAAAAATAAGCTACCCGCAAATTCTTTAACGTCAAAATTTGGTTTTCAATCTGCAAACTGTCTGAAGTATAAAACTTTTACAAAAAAAATATTTTTTATATTATTTTTAATGTAATGATAGTCACTCAATACATCAAATTTATTTACTGAATTACTACATCAGACCGTCTGCATGTAAAAAAAAAAATCTACAATTTCGACGCTTAATTGACTTTTTTTATTCGTAAACTCAGACAACTCAGATTTTGTAAAATTTGACGTTTAAGAATTTACCATACCTTTGTTGCTAGTAAGCCCCCGGAAAAATTCATAGGATTTCGCATCTCATAATTTTGAATTCCGTAACAAATGTCGAACAATACTTTCTATTTAACATTCAATAATGTTTAATAATTACTGTTTTCTAGTAGAAATTTA